TGCTATAAGAAACCTGGGTGTGCCTGCCGAGGGTTGCGCCTCTTATTATGACAAGTATCACGTGAGCACGTGATTCGTGACAACTCTATACTACCGGAGTATAAGGAAGTATAAGGAAGGCTTATACTACTCTATACTCGGACCATACGCGGGGTATGAAGGTTCTATATAAGACTGGCACGTCTGCCATTAGATAGGAGCTTCGTGCTCAACTTAGTTATCAATCTTATCATATTAGTTTGACATCTTTGATACAAGTAACGAGTTCACTTCCAAGTGAACAACCCGACAGTCTTCTTCTTATCACAGCATACCAACCAGCGAACACCCAGCCAAGTTTAGTTAGCCAGTTTGAGTACTCGTTACAGGGGTAGAGGATAAGGTAGATAAGGAGGACGACTCTCTAGCTCTAGTATAAGATATAACGCTTATAATGCTTAGAGATCTCGAATTACGAATAGTACTTAAATAAGCTAAATTAAGTTTAATTCTGCTAGGTTTAGCCTATTATAGTTATGATTTAGCTCTCTTTTATAACCCTCCTATATCCTAATTTAGCGTTAGATCTATATTAAGCGTACGCTTACTACGTAGGGTATATCTAGGTACTTTAGATATATTAGTATATATAAAGGAATTAAATAAATATTAGAATTAATGATTTTGTAAGATTTTACGCTAGGTTTCTTTTTTAGTAGTTAGGCTACTAAAAAAGCACGGATTACAGAAAATCCCGGAAAATTAAGCTTAATTCGTAACTAACTGTATCTGAAGGCCAAAGGAGTTGGAGTAAGGGGCTTGTTTATATTTCATGATGCATTTTTAAAGCACATCTTTCTTCAAGGGAAGAACACAACCGCAGACGCGCTGGCTGTTGAGGAGAAAGCTTGAGGTTTACGTCAATTATGTTCACGAGTTTTCAGTCCGAAGTCACAACTGTAGACTTAGGAAGATGAGTTTAAAAAATACAAAAATTATATATTTATTGATTATGAAAATTGTAGTTGGGTCTTCTACTATATACGATGGGCCATGATACTCGGAGATGTGGTAGCCAGTTGTCGCTGCGATAGAATACGCGCGTGACACTCGCTTAGAAGATATCCGAAAAGGGGGTATCCGGTGATCGGTAAAACAACGCTGGCCATTGCTCCCACACCAGCATACGTACATCGCACACAATCTGCGAGAAATATATTCTAGGATGATTTTTTGTTATTACTACCAATCTGAAGTTCCCCACCCCCCGGGGTTCTTTGCACAAGTGAATGTCCATGCAGCTAAACATCCCGGTCGTGATATGTGAGTTACGATATAGTATAAAATAATGTAAGAGCTGTCACATACGACCATAGACTGAGGAGAATTGGGCATCCCGTCCGTTCTGCCGTACACAAGCCTCAGATCGGCAGATTAGTAGTTGGGTGGGTGACCACCAGCGAATACCTGCTGTTGTATGTTTTTACTAGTTTTTTCTCACATTTCTTTTTGGTTACGATGTTGGTGGCGTTGGAGGGCAAGTAAGTCACCTGAAAGACAAAACAATGTGAAGCACAAGCATACGTTATATGGGCGCTTTTCACGTTGCTGGCTCTGTATACCTTCTGTTGGGTGTCAGGTAAAAGTCCGGGGGACTTTTTTGGAACTGTTGGGACGTCCGTGTTTTAGTTGTGGATACCAGTTTCCTTCTGGGAATTTGAAATTGATTAGAATACAAGAGATGACAGCGAGATATCTAAATTACAAGCTTTTGGACACTACTCTGAAGCGAAACTATAACGCCATTCTCAAATCTTCAATCAGGGAAGCACAGATTCACCGACCGCATCATTATTGTCTTCAGGTGTAGAGTGTGTAAAAATGGAAGAAATTGGAGGCTCTGGTACACCGTCAGTATGTACATGCTAGCCTAATGACCAGAAGAGGCAGAGAATAGGTATCTTCAGACTATATCTTGGCACTAAAACCTAAAATACAAAACATAATATGCCTAACGATCGGCAAATGGAACTTGATTCTATAAGCTTTCGCAATTTCATTCTATCTAGAATCCACCTATAGCCTTCCTTAAATAAAATAGAATGTTCTATTAAATAGGCTCTAGAATTCTATACTTCTATAAAATTCTAGAGGATACAACTCACTAGCATTCCGACCAATAAGAGAGCAGGATTTAGAAAGTAAATATTAACAATTCATATACTATACTTGGGTAATACAATTACCCTATGTTTAATTACTATCTTTTACTACTATATAGTAGCAGTCTTAGGTTAATACAATATCCTTAATCCCTTGTAGATGTTAATAAGAAGCTATAATCTAAAGTTTTTCATTAGTCTATTAGCCGGGAAGAACTATTTTGCCGGTCATGTATCTCGAGAATCAATTCTATAGAAATTCTACAGAATATAGTATCGAGAACAGAATGTCTCTAGACGTTCTTATGAATAGTATTGAATGTTCCCAAGGGGAGGTAGTGATTGGGCAGGTCTGGAAGGGAATTGAATTCTTAATAATAATCGTTAGATTCGCTTTACAGTTCTGCTAGTAAGGGGCATTTTGTATCTACTTAACACAATAGTTCAGAAATCACCTAGGGTGTTAGCGCTTATTGGAGACCCATATAACACTATATTTACATATAGATAGTTCACTTTTCTCTCTAGTTGTATTAATCCTTTTACATCTATATCTAATATCGTTGCTTCTCTTGAACTATTCTACTCTTAGTTCTACAGGTACCAACTGTGGATGCTTTGATTGACAATGACAGAAAGACGAGGTCCAAACTATGAGCTTTTGCCAGAGATAATACAAGCAAGCAAAAGTAATTACACCACCGACAATAGCAGTATTGATCCAACCTTTGATCTGTCCTTTTTCTTTTGACGGAATCGATGAAACAACCACAATGAAAATATTTGCGACGAAAAAGACACCCGTAAAGAACCAGTAAAAATTGTGTTTAAGCAAGCGTGATCTAGGCGGAGTTAATCGTTCCCAAGAAGGTGATGGTATATTTCGATATTCCAGACGGAGGAGCTTTAGCAAGCGAGACTTTTTGCTGAGAAAGGTCAGGGGAAACCCAATGCCGATAAACACTGAATTATGTTAGTTTATTCATTTCAATACTCTGGTAGTAGGACTTGTAGTCAAGAATTACCTCCTACCCACCCAGATGCGTACGCATAAATGTTTCCGGGGAAGCTGATTCCTTCGCTCAGATTGGCGAAGCCAGCTGTACCATATATGAAAGCAACTGAGAATAAAAAGTGTATAATCAGACCCCCTTGTGGAGTTGAGGTATTTTTCCCGTTGCTGTTGATTCTCACTGGTGAGCTCGATCTCCAAAGCCTTGACCACGGAAGAATATTGGCTTTCCTGATCGCTAGTTTGACTATTTTCGTGTGAAATTTCAATAAATAGTTCATTTATATAGGAATTTTGTACTTACGTCGACTACTTGTGTATGTAAAGGCAACCAGACTACCCAATACTGATATTGCAATCATGAATGCCCAGGCGCGATGTGCCTTCTCAGTATTCCCGAAAAACTATTATGGGCGTATCAACGTCTGTTGCCAAGTTCCGAAGGGTTCTGGACCCTACCAATGGTGCATATGTAGCGTATGTGTCGTCCAGAGGGTTATGGAGGGCGTTATGAGGTACAGCGAGAAGCTGCAAGCAGTTAGTGATATGCATATCAGCTGCAATGTTTTGGGAAAGAAGACTAACAAAGACTAAATTGACCAGAAAATAAAGTAACCCTACAAGAGAAATTGCCGAGATAGCACCTTTCTTTAATATCTTGTGCTCAGCAAAATCTCCACCAACCTGGGTAAAAGTTAGCAGTTTCAGGAACACTTTCTTCTCTTGAGACTTACAACGGTGGCGTTATCCAATCCTGAAAAACTAAACAAAATGTAGAGAAAAGCTGTAGCGGAGTTCTAACCTTAGGGCGTATATGCCCAATCACTTGTAAAGTGATTGACTGCTCTTGGTATGCCGCCAAAAATGAGAACCACAAGGAGTGTGATCTTGGCACACGCAAGTATTTGGCTCAAATCCTGTCCGGCTCTGCTGGAGAAGTAGTGTAACAGACAAACGAAGGATAGCACCACGAAGGCCATGAAGCGCAAGAACCATGGATTCAGAGACGGGTCCGCTGGATTATCTGATAAAAAGGTGAGCGTCTGCTTCGCGAACTGCATGGAATTTGTCGCATCGTTGTAAATGAGTATAGCGTAGAAAGAATAGATGGTATATGAAAGAAGCCGTGGCCTCGGCAAAGTTTCATCTAACTATTGCATAAATTAGTTGAAGTAGATGTCCATATGCAAAATCATCCACTCACATACACAAGTTCTCCCCCTGTATGGGGCATTTTACGGGACAGTTCAAGATAAATAACCATACTAAAGTAATACCAATAAGCTTCTTACTGCAACTACGAACTTCGAGAAATACCTGATCGCCGTATATAGAAACCCCACAATCCAAAGAGCCAACGCTACATATTTGCTATTGGTAAGGTATAATACAACCGGAGGAGTGGTATAGATTCCCGTTCCTACCATATTGTTGACGGTGAATGCAAATACATCGCGAACATTTAGTTCACGAGGTTTTGACGGACGGAAAGGCTCTTGTTCAAATTGTTCCCGTGAAGTGGGTGATGGACCAACGTTTCCATTATCCCCTTGATTTGGCCTATAAATAATTCTGTTGCCGAAGACATCTCTTCCACTTGGCAGTGCTGTGTGGGTATCTTCCCCTTTGGGGTTTTCGAAGTCTGAACTCGGTCCCCGGGTCGTCATGGCAAACAAAAACGAAGATAAAGTCTTTTGATCTGACGCTGGCTGGGGTTCTGGTCCTTTTCCTTCTGAGCCCTTGATCTGACCGACTACACATTTCAGGCGTGAGCCACACCTAATCTTCTCGGTGAACAATTTTAGAGCCACCGGCGGTTAGGGCGCGCTGTTATTCGTGGCCCTGAGCTCGTCATCTCGCAGCTTTAGCCAGTCCGGGCCCAGCGATTGTGCCGCATTGGGGGCGAACCGCTCCCAATATAGAAAGTGCGCACTGGAGTAGCAGAACTATGTGAATCAGAATATTCCTCGCAGAGTAGTCATGTTTCTACATGAAAACCCTTCAAGTTGCCTGACCATAATATGTAAGTTGGCAATATAATTCTCCAAACTCTCATGATGGATATTTCAACATTTCTGACGTCCTCTATTCAATTTATAGTAAACAGTGGGAAAACAAGGCGAAGTATTGAGCGCAATGACAGCAGATCAGATCGCCATCTTCTCATAAAATACGTGGAGAATAATAAATTCAGGATAGGTGAGTTTGTTACGGAGAGGGATTCTGTCTGTCCAGGCATCCCAGTCGATCCAAAAGTTCTTCAGAAGAATGAGACAGTGAAGGTCAGGTGGATCGAACTTCAGTTTGAAAAAGCTGGATGTAAGTTTTCCTAGTGCACGTTAAGTTTGATTACCTACTAAACTTGAGTGATTAGTAATGAGAAACTTCCTAGAGCTTATTAGCAGTGGCGTGGGTCTTTCAGCTAAAGCATGACGGTCTATCTAATATGTATACATACCTGAGAAAACGTTTACAAGCAAGTGTCAAACTTAATTCCAGCGATTTCAGAAAATTACTCCTTGCTCCTCCCGAAGTGGCTAATAGGATTAAAAATCATGTTTGCCGGTCATGGGGTTTGAGAGGAAGGGGGGAGGAACACCTTGCACGATACAGTAGCTAGGTATCGCCGGTAAATATTGTTCAACAAGTTCTATATTGAAAGTCTTCTCCTACCAGCTATGCAGATTTAGAAACATCATCTTCGATATCGCGAGCTTTCTTCGCAAGCCTTTGCCTTACACGAAATTGCCAGAGCCACCACCCAACCATAGTTACCAGCATCAGCGGGGCTGTGAGAGCGAGATAGAACCACATGTCCGCTGTGGCATGTAATTTCATAATTCCGTTCAGGGACTCAACGTGCAAGAACCCCATGCTAAGAAATGTCTACACAAGTTGCGTTAATGGAGGCTAATAGAAGTAGGCTGGTTGGATTTACATACTGCTGTGAATGAGGCAGGCAGGTAGATCCCAGCAACAAACGTGATAGTTCTCATCGACTGTGCCTCCTGAATTGTCTTTTTTGTTAGAGTAAGCATCATGTCACTGTCCATTAACGTAATCGTGTTTTGGACCTGAATCTGGTTAATTTCGACTAGGAAAGCACTGAACAGCATTACTTACCAGAGACGCAAGCTCTCGAGAACACTCCTGTATTAAGGAAACATGATGCTTCAAGAAATTATGTTCGGTTATGCACATTTGAATAGCCTCTCGAAATTCGTCGTACTGCTCAGAGGCTTCAGTCTTATCAAGGGATTGCCTTTTGATCGCTGTCGCATTGAGCTTGGAAGGAACAAATATATTGAGTTCAAGAGCGCTGGTTATTCTGATCAAAGTATCATTGTACTTTTTCAAATTTTGAAGTGTAGTAAAAGTAACGCGATCTGGAGAATTGTCATTCGGACGAGCGTAGCACACAGCACCTTCCTACATGTGAATTAGCATGTTACAGTACTGGGTGCTGGAGATTACATCGTGACTTACCACTTCACAAACCTTCGCGTCAATCAGCTTGATATACTCCGTCCAATTCGATGACACTGTGCCAAGATGAATCTCATGGAAGTTCTTCCAATGCGCACAGATCTTCCCAATATCGCGATCTTTTGCCAACTCGATAATTCTCTTCTCAACCTTAAGTGATGGTTGGATCAATAGAGAACTTGATTTCTGTGTCGAGACGGTGAACTTCTGGTATACGCCCAGTTGACGAATTGAAAATGGAATCTCGGATCCTGGTTTGGATTCCACATGTTTTAGGATGTAGCCTGTTTCGAATGCTAGAAACCATTAATTCATAGCATAGTGGAATAAGTTGGAGGATTTACTGAGATGTCCCGCCTTTTCCCCCTTCGTTTCTTCGCAAAAGCCACCTCTGCCATTGGCACCCGGACCGTTCTCGTAGCCAAAACAGGTGAAAATATTGTTGAATTGTGGAGTGACGGATAATCGTGAGAGTATTAACTTTCCTGCCTTGCTAGAAAAGGAAAAGTGCGACCTTGATCCTGATTGCCTCAGTTTTCTTTAAGTTAGTTTCACTTTAGCTCTATGAAATAATCCCAAGGTCTTACAGTAAACTAGCTCTCGGATGGGTCGTGGACAATTTCTCATCAAGCTGCCCCGCATCAAAGCTGCCATCGTTAGTAATAATATTGCTTTCGGGGGTAAATAATACGTACAGGCAATCTTCTAGGCCCTCGATAGTTTTGATGATATTTTTCTCATAGCCTATTAAATTAGAACTTTCAATAGGTGCGGGCTATTAGGAGAAACACACGCGAAGAACATATTAAATGGCTTTCAATGCAAATCTCCTCAGAATCACTAAATATACGACCTGAATTCATTTCAAAAACCTCCCTAACTCCACAAACGTCATCCAAGAACAATCTCTTCTCGATCCTTTTCTTCGGCCACCTAGCAACATTACTAGTGTTGGGTGTCTTCTCGTCCATTGCAATAGAGTATCTTTGGAGATTCGGCTTTTGATAGAATTCCCTGCAGTTGGCTCGCGAAACTAACAACAAATATCTTCAATGATGGGGAACTCATAATACTGTCAAAAGTGGGCCTCCATGATACATATGCGTGCTCAGCCCGTCCATCATACCCAAAAACGCCCCAATCCTCATCCTGGCGCAGCCTCGAGGCTCCCCGAACCATACATATCATAACGCTCAGTGAGGCTGTGCAGATTCTCTCACCGAGAGCAATGATTATCCTCCAGTATCCACTCGGTCCGTAAGCGTCCTCATAGTCTTGCAGTTCTTGTTGTCGGCGTCGCTCTTCCCTAGCATCCTTCTGACTTCTCAACCACAGGAGCTCTTGCTGAACCACGTTAACTACAGCTAAATGATCAAAGAAAAGTAATAATTGAGGATAGGAGGGGTCCAAGTTACGGTAGGGTGAAATATAGATCTTACTTCAGTCAATCTCCTTGGAGCCTCAATTCTTCTACCACCATCATTTAAATTCTTGTGTTCAGTTAGTCAGTCAGCCCGAAAGAAAGCCTCAGTGGGATTAACACGTGAAAATAAATTGTTTATCCGCTTACGGTAACAGTATATGTACCAGGAGCAAAAGTATCTGCAAGAAGAGGATAAAGATCATCATCGTCACAGTAGTATTGCTGAATAGTCGTAATTCTTACCATCTTGGAAGATTTCGTATATGAAAGACCTCAAGGTTTGCTGGATAATTGATCGCATTTGCCGCATTATATTATCGGCAGAATAGGCTGCCACCAGTAGTGAGGCGAACGAGGCGATCAACACTCAGCCAATAAACAAACGAGATGGCCGTTTCCTGGCCAAAATATCCAAAATATCCAGAACAATGAGCTCACTTGTTTCAGTTGCGACATATACGACCCCCTTTTGTTTACATCACATGATTAGACCCACTTGTTCGAGTACCTTAAGTACTCGAACGATTCCACTCCTTTAGAATCAGACAACAATCGATTATTATTGGTACATCATATTTCTTTGCTTTGATATCCCTGATATCTCTATACTATCAGTTTCAAGAGGATCTCATGGTAACCGTTGTCGGCAAGAGTGTCTGCTCGGGAACGTGGGGGATTCAAGCAACTTAATGAATGAGAAAACGTATTCTTCGTATTCATCTGTTGTTTCTTCGCAAGAGCATTTTTTTACTCCATTCTCTCCGGCATGTCTCTCACATGTAGGATACCGTACCCCTCTATTCAGGATGTTGTAGGAGCACTAATGCTAAGTCCAAATATGAACGAATATGAAATTAAATAGAATATATGATATAACAGCGAAATTTCTCGGTTTATTTCTTCTTCTCGTGCGACTTCCGGCCGCCTAACATATAGACCTAACCTTAGCTTATTCCTACATCATAATTCGAGAAAGCGTACAGCCACCAGAATCTTCGTCATCATTGTCAGGTATGGAAACCCCGGAGAGAGAACTCGAATCTCCGTCAATACTCACTAATCCATGAATAAGTAAGTACAAGATAATGTCACAAAGTGGAAACAACGTACATGATTCTATCTCCTCTACCAGAACATCCCCTTTTAGCGAAAGGGTAATACCTGTATTTGTATCCGGTCTCCAACGACTAGGTCCTGCTCGAGAGTCAATTTGTCCCAGGGTGTCGCGTCTGATTTGTTGAATGACCTCACTCATCAATACGTTTAGCTCGCGGGTTCTTTCATCGGTAGTGGCTTCACTGGGAAGCTCTGGAGGTTGCCAACGAATGTATCTGACCATGTGTGATGCCGGTTGTACAAAGTTTCCTGGATGAAGACGAATATAATGATAGCAGCAATAACACGCGGGCTTACTGCACCCAATATGCCTGTCAGAACCTTGAAAGACCAACTTGTTCTTATAGAAGTACTCCAATAGATGGAGTTCAGCGTGGATTAGTGGCCTGAAATCTTTCTTTTGGAACTGCCCCAGTACTTGCTTTTGAACGCTAACCTCGAACTTTGAGTCCATAAATGCGAGGGATTCTTTGTACCGCAGCAAATCTCGAGAGTTTGCTGGAAGCATCCGCTTTATAATACCATCCAGTGTAGTGAGTTTGTCGGGCGAAGGTGGAAGGATGGGAGTTTTTGGGCAAGGCAGCGGTTTCATTTGGAAGTTGTCGAACAAATCTGCCAGTTTACAACCGGCTTGGACGAGTACCTTCGCGGCTCTCAGATGACAACCAAGTCTCCCAAGGCAATGTTGTAAGTTGATGAAGCTCTGTCTTTTATTGGATTCAGCTTCATCGCGTAAAATAGGCTGGCCTCGATCGTCAATGTGGGTTTTGAGGAGTGACATGCATTCACAACGCCTCTGCTGACATGCAAACCGGCAAAGACCAGAAATATCGTCTCCAAAAGACATAAAGCTTGTGAGCCAGTGTTTTATCTGTACGAAACAGATCATTACAAGGGTCAAGAGTATTTGCAATGACTAACCTTCAGGATTATTGGAAAGATTTAGAGCCTATAAGCACAGTTTCAAATACTGCCGCAACCTTTTGCTGTAGAACCCGAGTCTTTCATGATTGAATTTAATGCAAATTTCAATAACATTCTCTTCGGCTGTCACGGTATCTCCCCCCTTTTTGAAATCACAGACATAGGCGAGTTGGTTTAGAAAAGGTCGTCGTAACTCAAGGTTAGATGTTGCGTCAACCTCTGAAGGGAACTCAGAGACTGGCAGACCTCCATACTTGTCGAGAACCTCGAGAAGAATCAATGGTTCGTACAAGCGGTGTAGAAGCTTATCATGAGGGGACCTTGGTGTAATTCGGGCCACTTTGTTTCTCGACTCTGGCTTCTCTTTGACGACTGGCTGTTGCGCCTTTTTTCCCTTGCCTTTTGAAGTCTTTACGAAATCACAATTTGTCCAGCCCCATGTCCTTTTTTGACGTTCAGGATACAAGTTGTAAGAGGCCTTCATACTGGTGGAATTATGGCAGTAGATGCCGACTCGTCCCTCTTGGGCTTTTTCTTTCTGGTCATGTTTCGCCCAAGCCAATAATTGAAAACTTCAGAGAATAATCCTTCCTCGATGATTGATTATTAAAACGAAGTTTCCAGCCTTACGGAAGAGTAAGATACATCTCCACCATTTTGTACTATAAGCTTCTCCAAGTACACACCGTAACGCTGATAACCGTAGCACATTATGATTAGCTCCTTCAAGTCGTCGAGTTAGCCTTGTGACACTCCAATTCATGATACCGAAGTCATGATATGGCCTTTTACATGCTGTAAGTATGCAAACGCGCAAACGCGACCAACACTGCATACAATGCGCAGCATGCAGTATTCGATTCGCTTGAACAAAATATAAATGAATCGGTTAGGTAGCACAGCCACTAAATAATTCCACCAATTATTGAACAGTTAATTAAGGCTTTTGCTTACATTTTCGTGGTCATACGAGGTATTGTTAGGTTTGAAATGATCTAAAGAGCAGGAAACCCTTACACATATATTGGTTTCGCGTAAGGCTATAGAATGAATTCATTTACTCCAGGAGCTCCATACAACTGATGTAATAAGAGCTTTGTCTTTCTACTTATTTCGCATAAACTGAAAAAAGTAAATGATATTTTCCTAGAAGAGTTTAACATGGTGATAAATTCAGACATATTGTTTCGGGATGTGTAGCTACAGTAGGCCCATATCTTGATAAACATTTCCTGTTATCGACATCATAGAATGGTCACCGTAGCGAGTCCCAGGAAGCTGTCCACTGCGAAATTTGTGTATCCACTCAGATGCTGTAGATTGAGTGGGCAACCGCGTTCGTTTACTGTACCCACCCTCGTTGAAAATACAAGTCAGATAACCATACTCTGTTTCTCAATTATCTGAAAAGCATTCTAATTTCAGGATCTCCGCGACCTGCCATTGAAACAAAGACTACTGAAATCTCCTTTCGGAAGCAGGGCTGCTATTTCTTATATCACGGAATCCAAGCTCCTGTATTCCATTCATGTATTCACTTACTTATTTGTTTATTTATTCGCATATTACTAGAAATGTAGATAATATAGCACTTTTTCCTCAGACCAAACTGGGATCATTGTCTCCGATAATACAGCTGTCTAACCAATACTACAAGATTGATGACCTATCTTCTTATAGAAGCTATACTTGAGAACGACCTGGATCCGAGCACGTATCTCAAGGTTCTTCAACAGGCTGAGGAAAGTGACAGTAAATACTGGCTCAGGTGCATAAGGATCATATCGATAGGACGAGAACTGATGGCCGTGTACATTCCAGATAGAATACAACATCTCTCCATCCTCCAAACTTCCCATCAAAAAACCTCGCACACACAAAGAACATAGCACCATACAACCTCAAACCTCAACCCCCATCATCCAGCACCCAACAAAAACCACTCTCCATCAAAAGACCTACACAAACACCCATCCAAACCCTCGCATTTCCATAATATCCCAACCCCCATTGAATACCATCCCACCGCGCTATCCCAACAAAAAATTAGCTCTCACTCTCGCTAACCCCCCAAAAAAACACGACGCTACACCAATACCAACACTACCCAAGAAAGCCATTGATAAGAGGTTCTTGACCTGACCATCCGATCTTATAATCCCACTACCACTACTCCCATAACAAACAAGTACAGCCTACAGTTCCATAACCCATCACTCCTTTACACCAAACCTCCTTCTCCCCAAATTCCTCGCTTAACCCGCAAGATCCAAACCCAAAAGAATTCCAGATAATAAACCTTAGAGATCGAACTGGGAGATGGTAAAATGGTACGGCATCCCGAATGTACTAAAAGGTCGAATAGACTTAATACTAATTCGCAAATCGCAAAAGTCATATATTTACTACTACCGTGTAAGAGTGCCTATACCCCCACACCCCTACCCTTAGACTTTACGTGCCTAGGCATTTTCACATGTACACGTCCTCTTACTGTCGTACCCTTACTGTTATATCTTTACTGTCGTATCCTCACTGTTGCTACGCCCTTGCTGTCGTATCCTCGCTGTCGCTATTACTATCGCTATCGCTGTCGTAAAAAAAAAGAAGAGAAGAGCAGGAGGGAGAGAGCGAGGGAAGGTAGATAGCAAGCAATTGTTAGCGCAACACGTGCTAGCCTAGCCGTTTTAGGAAGGTAGTATTAGGGGCCAGGAATAAGCGACATATACAACTAAAATATTTCCCTGCTTCCGTCCCTCTTTCTCTCTCTCTCCCTCTCTCACTCTCACACTCACACACACACACACACACACCAAATACCAGGGCAAAACCCTGATACGACAGTGAGGGTGCGACGACAGTGAGGGTGCGACAGTAGGTGGCGAGTTTACATAATCAGGCCCCTATCTTAAGTACGTGGGGTGTGGGGGTATAGGCACTCTAGCACGGTAGTTGTAAATATATGACTTTTGCGATTTGCGATTTGCGATTTACGATTTGCGAATTAGTATTAAGTCTATTCGACCTTTTAGTACATTCAGGATGCCGTAAATGGACATAATCATCAGTACATACATCCATATAAATCTCATTTCAAGGTTTTACTTACTACAGTATCTATCGCCGCCACCAATCGAGAAATTCCCATAACATCGATACCATACAACGGATTAGTAACATGTTATCAAGTAGACTTAGTCAGCAAGTAATTAATACAACAAAGAACCCTGGGACGCCAAATATACGCAATTTGTCCCCTACGAAACAATCCAATCAAGCTAAGCAACCACAAAATTCCACCTGAACCCCATCTCGCCATCTATACTGAAATACGTTTAGTAACTAACGACACACTCTTCAAAGGCACAACAAGCACAATCACATCACATCCAATTCCCACCATCAATGCATCACATCACTTTGGGTATCGATACTCCAATTCTTAAAGTACAGTAGCGCACACTAACACTGATAGCAGACTCCAATGCCATGCCACGCAGTCATGCAATCAAGCAATCCTTTCCCTTGCCGCGCACCCATCTCCACTGTCCGCCCAGTAATTTGTTCATACACAACACCCCAATCCAAACAACCCACCCGTCTAGTCCTCATCGTCATTTTCCATTCTAGCTCTCTTACTACTCCTCTCCTCGCCCTCCTGCAGCCCATACCCCCTCTTATTCTCACTGGCTCCCCCACTACCACCTTCCCCGACTTTAGTCAGGAACTCATCGACATTAAAAACATCGCCCGTGTCTTTTTCGAATTGCACGGGTCCTTCTCTCGCCTATATCGGACAAATTAGCAAACACCTCTCAAAAGTTCAGAAAAGGGCAAAAAACTAACCTCAACATCCCCACTCCCCTTAAAAGTCCCCTTCCCAAGCGCCTCACTAAACCTCCCTGTTCGCTTTATCTTTCCCATCTCCGCCTCCGCGGCTTCCTCATCATCCCCATCATCCATATTCTGCTGAGGACGATAAATACTATTAATAGCATCATGTGCCTGGAAAAGCGGTTTGTCATAATGCTGATCCTCATTGAATCCACTATCAAAGCCAGATGTTCGGTTGAACAATCTCGAATCGAACATGCTTTCCGAGCTCTGGGTAGGTTTAGCGAGACCAAGAGCGACCCTTTCAGAAATATCACGATTCTGTTCACGAGCCATCATTTGAACTCGTCGTTCGGCGCCCATACGTGATTGTCGTAGATTCCGCTCTTCCTCACGGCGTTTCTCTTGTCGGGCTTTTTCGCGTTCGCGGACTTCAGCTTCATCGCCACTATCCGATTCTGATTCTGAATAGCTGTAGCTTCCAGAGCGTGATCTTGAGGTTCGTGAATTGCGTCTTCCTGATCCAGCGGCTGCTCGGTCTTCTCTAGCTTTCTGGGCAAGCATTCGAAGGTGCTCTTCTTTCTGTGCCTTTTCCTTTTCTGCTAATCTTTGTTGCATCAATGATCTCTGCTTAACCTCCTCTCTCGCATGTCTATCGGCTGTAAACAAAGCTTCAGCAAACTGGGCGAATTTATCGTTTATAGTAACATCCTGCAATCCTCTCCCATCCGCCGCCAATCGTTTATCCAACGGCACAGTATAGCCCTTAGGATTCTTCCAATTCGATACAGGCGGGGGAACCTTCCACGCCTCCTGATCCTCAGCCGTTAACTTCCTAGGAGGCGAATGCATAACCGGCGGCGGCGGACTAGGTGGTCCCCTTGGAATCTTCTTATGTTTGAACTTGGGCGGCTCCATAGGATCAACCTGTCTCTCGACAATCTTCATAATCCGATCATTCTTCCTCGTATTATCCCCCATCTGATTCGCAGGCGTATACCTTACAAACGTAGGCTCCTTCTTACTCCCAATATTCACATTCTTCGGTTTCTGCGCTGCCACCGCACCGCTGACCAACTTCGCAAGCGCATCCTTCGTCCGTTCCGTCGAGGCCTTAACTTCCTCCTCACTCGGTCGATCAAGATTAATATCCCCCGCATCGGCCCTCTGCCGAAGTGGTATCAGATCCTTGAACGAAGCATGTACAATTCTCTTATCATTATGTCCCTGTCGCGCAATCGCATCGTACTTTACTTTCCCCTCTCCATCAACCTGGACTGCCAGAGCGGTACTGGAAGAATTCGACTTTCGGCCCATATCGAGGGGATATTGTGCGACAGGTACTTCAGGGAACGCGCCTCCATCTCCAAAGTCTTCTGGTCCTCTTGGTCGCCATCCTGCTCGCTGTCCGTATGGCGGTGGTCCAGTTTTCTGGCAGAAAGTATTAGTATATCCTTCCATGCGAGAAACTGTAATGCGACTCACCCGTAAAACAATTTGCGAATCATCGAGCGTGCCTGCTCCTACGATTCTGGGACCTCTCTGCTGGGCATGCTGTGGAATATCCTCTTCTTCTCCTGTATACTTTGGCTTGGGAAGAGCCTGCGCCAGGTTTGCTGCTAGAGAAGTCATGTTGAAGATGTGTTGTAAAAGTTGGATATCCGGTCAACTTTTAAGAGATGAGGGCGCAGAGTATCGCATATGGGAGTCGAATTATCGCGAGGCCCGAAGGAGCGCTAAGCCACATTTGACTAGCGCAATTTTGGTGAGGCTGAAACTCAAAACACAGATACGTACTAATGAGTGAATGTAACAGGATACAAGTGTGGCCAATTGCATGTGTTCACAAGCTGGAAGTGTAATAAAGTAGGTAGATAAATATTTTCAAGTAAGGGCATTAAAGTTTTCCATTCCCTCATTCTTCGGATGCTCATATAAAAATACAACGAAAAGTCCGACTCCACAACGATCCATGCCATTGCCATACCACGCTTGCCTCCCAAAGAACGCTTGACGAACCAACAAGACTCTTGTACGAGTAACACAATAATCCTTCACACATATCCCTTTCTCGCACCCTATTTCAAAAAGTTAGCATCTTTTCCTCGTGTCTACCTATACCTCAAATTACTTTCCCCAAGCACCATCCCAGACCCTCAAATTCTCCCCAAGAAAGTGGCTTTTACATACCTGAAAAAAGAACCTCACAATAAAAACCTGTAATCCAGCCATACAAACCATCATCAAACTCTCGATCACACTAAAGTTAAAGATCCTTCGTTCCGTCGAGCGCACCGTACTGAAATTGCGATTCTCTCTTGTACGGAAATACTTTTGATTCCTCGTAATCGTCGAAAGCTGTCCAGAGACCTTGAAAATGGATTCTTCCAGAGCGGAAGTCTGTTCGGGTGAGGTTCCTTGCTTAGCTGGGAGAGAGGCACGGGCTTCGTTTTCGACCTGTTTACAATTGTGTAAGCCATTGTCCTGAAGGAAGTATTTGTCCTCCAGAAAGGAGGGCAGAGGGTCGAGAAATAGCTTGGGATATGGGGAAGGAAGATACATACAGCAATCTCAAAATCCACGTATTTCTCCGCAAAAGTACTCATCTCATTATTGAAGCAGAACTTATACTCCCCCGTCTCGAGAGCCGTGAAGACGAAATCCCCCTGTCGTTCCTTCGCCCCAGCCATAATGGTATTCTCTCCCGGTCCCGTAACCTCATAATCCACGTCGAAAGAGCCTCCCGCTTGAACCTATCCCATAAAACAATTAGCAATGATTCCCAAAAGCAAACTCCCCTCCTTTCGTTCCGATCCCCAAAATTTCCAAAACAACCCCCGAACAAACTTACAGCAAAATAAAACGCAATCTTTGCACCCTTCTTATCCACAAACGAGTAAAAGCACGCCTTCTCATTCGCAGATAACTTGTACGTCAGCGCCGTCGCAGAAACCAGTGGTGTAACGCAGGCCAGCAGGCCGTAGCAAAGTGCGGAAAATTTCATCGTGCCGTGGTTGTTGATGTTGACTTTTGGGCGATGCGTCGTACTTGCAAAGCGTTGCTATCCAGAGCTTGAGCCTTGAGGCCAAATATTTCGAAGTCGCGGGAAGGGGGACACCCTGGCGGAAGACCCGCGACGGCACCGTCAGGGGTCAGCCCCTGTGCGCGAGGCTGAGACGAGGCTCCGTCGTACACTCCGACATCTTCACTAAAAGTGAATAGGTGAAGGTTTACAAATATCCTTCACTTTTTGTCTCCACTGATTTAACACCATTTGGCAAGACTGCCTTCTAGCAAGATCAAACAATAGAGGAAATATTGGTAGTATTCGTGGTTTAAATGTGGCCTCAACGCTATGATGCTTTCTGTATCAATTCTTGCCAACACATGCCAAGACAGGTCCCCTTTCATTCCCATCATCTACACTTGCATTCATCCCAGATTGATGGCCCTTTAATGCCCACCAAGAATCCATATGACTGTTTTAACCATCCATCCACCCTTTGCAAGCCACCGGAGCGCCATCCCTTCATAACATACAAAAACCACCGCTTGCCAAAAGAAAGAAAAAAAGTAGAGAAAAACGAGATGAACATATGCTACGCCACGCCCAAAGTCTACTTCAAGAACAAATCTCCTGCGCCATTTCGAATAATCCGCGTTCGGTCCACGTGGTCCAATCCAAGTAAATCTTCTTCGTTGACAGCCATGTCCCATAATACATCCTCTGCGCTGTGTTAGTGTCGTTCTTCGTGATTGTAGATTGAGTGGTGCTTACCATCAGCAAGATATTTGGGCTTCGAGTATTGACTTTTGGTGACAACCGCAAACTTGATTTTCTCAAAGTTCTTGCCTTTCAGACCTAGCCGCGTTTCGAGTCGTTTTCGGGTATTAATAAATTGCTCGCCCTGAATCGCTTATTAGAGAATAGGTTTTAAGGCAACTAGTTGACTTGCTTACCTCGATCATACGGAACTTAAACGGAATTCCGTGACCCTTATTGGGTTCATTCTGGAAGTGGAATGCATAGATGAATTGATCGCTCGGAATGTCGCGATCAAATTCCGGCATTATCTCTGCTGATAGTGTAACGTAGTCCGTGATACTGATGACAGCGTGTGATCGGCCAAGTTCTTTTTGAATCTTATGACTGTGGATTTCGTATATTCGGATCGCCTCGATCTGGTCTTGGTCGGTAAGATTCAACTTCTTGACGAGCCCAAGGATGAGATCATCGACAGTTCCACTCTTGGCGACAAGTATATCGTACGTATCCTAAATTTGGTTAACAGTGGAGATAATTCGAAATGACGTTGGTAGACTCACCACTTTCGACAGGCCCTCACTAAGCCATTGGACTCGTAAGGACTTCTTGGTGTCTAGCTCAGTCAAACTCATTTCAAGCACCTCAAAGTACAGTTGATCTGCCTTCTGGTTGTTGTTGCTGAAGGTGCTGTAAGGGGGATTGAGCATCAACTGTAACGTGTGTGTTTGATTACGTTTAATCACAGATTTGGGGTTCCCTGTCGTAGCATTGACAGACCAGAATCGAAGATGAGTAGGATCAACTCCAAGTCTGTCCCCAACTTTGGTCGACACTTGGTCGTAACTGTGCTTAGCACTGAGAGTCAAAGAGAATGGCTCATATGCTTCCGGGTTGGGATTTCTTGTTGGATGTGGATGAAATTGAACCTCCCTCTTGTGTATAAGAAAGTCGTAGAACATGGGAGCGAACTCGATTCGATCTGAAAACGAATAAACACTATTGGTGGTTGACGGTTTGTCGGACGATCTATCAGATTCGGACATTCTGAAAATTTGAGATTGAGATTCCAGATCCGAAAGGGAAAGTCCAGATGTTGATTTTTGAAAACATATGATATCGCCATCCTGAAGTTCAGCAGCTTTCAGCGTCTGCTTTCCTTTCATTGGCTCAATCATTGTCGGTTTAATTTCCTGTCTCTCATTAGCAGCTTGATCTCTATCCGGTATTAGGGTAGTTACCTCGTATAGTTTCAGTGCCAGGCGGTCGCCCGACGGAAGCTTTTCTGGCCAATCCATTTTATTCAAAATGACAGGTACGAGTTCCTCCACTCTCTTGTCATGACTGATGTAGATATGCCCTGCACCTCGGAGTTGTTGATTCTCAACATCAAACCACTTCAAAAAGAGAAGGATTTGATCGGGTCCAAGCTTTTTGGAAGTTGTGGAGGATCCCATCGAACCCATCGAACCCATCGAGCCCATTGAGCCCAACGTGGTCAACGAGCCAATGGAGCTCGTGGTTGTTGATGTTGTGCTGTTAGTGGGCCATTTTCCGAGGCCGTCTTCGCCTACTTGCTCGGCCATCTCAGCCCACAGGCGCAGTTCCGCGGTCTTACTCCCAACAAGCTTTTGATGCGCCTCTTCTACGGTGGCATCTAGGTCGGTGAGGGGCACGTCTGGTCGTGTCGTCTTATTCTGACGATTTACCATACACCAAAGTCGCAACATGTTTGGATTGACACCGGTATCTTCAGCGATTTGTAAAATCAAGTCTCGCAGGGTCGATTTCCGAAGAACACGGTAAGATTTGGCCGCGGATGGTTCGTCGAGACTGTTAACATCAAAAGTAGTCAAGTCGGTCCCACCATGAGCCAGGTACGTGTCCTCTGTAATAACTCTCACGCCCATGTACAGATGCTGCTCCTCTCTTTCCTTTCTACGTGCTTCTCGCAGCGCGGCTTCCTCGTCGAGCTTCGCTTGTAGGTGTGAGGGGGTATGTTCTTTTCCAACTGGGCAAAGGACATCGTCCAAGCGAGATTCGCGTATATATACCAACATATAGGCGCTCATTTGTCGCATGGTAGGAGTGGATAGCTTGGAGATTGGCGATGTACCCATGGGATATTCGCCTCCGTAGTTATCATTCAAAACTTCCCGCATTGTAGCTTTCGTGACCTTATCATCATCGTATTTGTAGAACCAGCCATCTTTGCCAGGTTTGATGAAGGCATAATAGTGTCCAGCGTTCAAATCTCCGCTGTGAACAAGAACGCCATGTAATTTGTAAATCCAGGGCTCGCTTCGATCGGCATCCGACGACAAGTATGGAGCCGCATCGAATGATTCCGGAAATTCGTAAAGATCATTAATTTTCATCATGGCGTCGTGGTCAATATCATACTGAAAGCGCTTCAGCTGTAGGTGAAGGACTTCGGGAAACGATTCAAAAATAACGCCCTTTCTCGCATCCTGTAGCTTGAATTGGTCGCCAGCAAAATACTGGTTTTCACCGTCCATCGTTTCCACCTGGATATAATCTCTGAAGCTGTCCTCGATCGTCTTGTTGCCACTGACGTTCAATTGGATATCCCAAAAGTCTTCAACGCGACGAGATTCGTATTCGACATTGATGCAAGATATGTATGTGCGCACTTTTCCACAGAAAAGTCTTGGTAACACATTCTCCGATTCGGTGCCTTTCATCCTCTCCTCCATTCGTTCCATGAGTTTTCTAGACAGCTCCTGTACATCTTGCTGCTCGAAGATATGTCTAGTCTCCCAGCCAAAGGACTTTGTGAGCTCGTTCGTACTCACGGCATTGTTGGATGTTTGGAGTTGATAAAATAGACGCTGAAGGGTATACGCAGAGTTCTGAAGACTATCCTCGCCTTGTGTTGGTATTTGGTAAACGGCCTATGACATGGTTAGCAACAGGGGTGGGTTTTTCGTAATCGATAGACGCACCTTGCGAAAAGCATTTGTGAAATATAATGATTGGATCAGAGAATTGAGATAGCATGTGGCTCCTTGATTCTTCAAACCAACAAATCCTGTCTCTTTTTTCGAATCGTAGTTTTGGAAGTTGTGCCATAAGACCCCTGTCTCGTCCTTTACCACTCTGACGTAGGCCGTTATATTGGCGGACTCATGCTCAACCAGAAATCGGTTTGTGCCCTCGAATGGTATCTGCCATAGCTTTCTGATCTCCACGAAACGTGTAAAACCCCAATCACCCTCCTCTTTGGTAAATCTGTGGTGAGCTACATGGTGGGTAAAAATGTCGGGCGAATTTGGGTTCCAGAGAACCAAACCGAACTGTACGCAACACACAAAATCGTCTGGGGCTTTTCCGTCCGGAAATCCTTGTTCGAGGTAGAAAGAGGTGTGGTCAACATTGTTGCCAAACGGAAACATGAGTATGCGCCTGCAGTCGTTAGTCAAGTTACGCCGGTGGAGCACATGAAATCTTACCAAGGGAAGCCTCCCACTTCAAAAACGGGACCATGTTCCCTTCTTGCTAACTGTCGCCAGTTTTTTATTTCCCAGGTATGATGTCCGTCAGCAAGGATAGGAGGTAGCTCGGGCAGTGGTGTGAGGATCGCCTTTCTCATCGCCTCGACTGGCAGCACAATTAGCTTCTATTCCATATTCCAGGGCCGCGCACGCAGGCGGCAGATGGCCACAGTCAAACCTACAATCGTCTGCGCGCAGTGCTGGTTCGCCATCACTATCCGTGTTGATGTTTATGACGCTGTCCTTTTCGTTGTCTGCGTCGACTAGTACTTCGTCGGGATCGACGAAGTTATTTGAGCCGTCCATGGTTGGGAGCGAATTGGAGGAACGCTGCGAGGGAAGGAGATATATGTCAGCCAGGTCGTCTTCGATAGAGGTCATAGGAGTAAGCTCCAACAGCGGAAAGTTATCCATGGTGGAGGGGCAGCGGGTAGTGGGTAGTGGGCAGTGGGCAGCTCAGAGCCACAGCATCGATCGACTTGAGCTGCAATGAGAGTGACAAGCGGGGGACTCCAAGAGAAGGGAAGGTTTGCCACAGGCACAGGCAGGGGAATGGGAATATTTTTGGGGATTTGGATTTGGATTTTTTGCTTACAAAAGGCAGTCGCAGAGGGAGCGGAGGTATGCGCCTTCCCAGGGAGCGAAATGTCAGTCTCAAACTGTCTATCAACAAAGAAGGCTCCTGGTTTGGATCAGAGGCTCGTTGCCGAGTCTGCGCTGAGGGCACTGAGGGCTGGTACAGTACTGGCACTGGTACGAGTACACCGGATAGGTCTAGATAGGTACTGCCACTGCCTCTATGGAAAGTTGGATCTGGCGGAGGGGGTCGCTTGCCGCAGAGCCAATCAGTGACGTCTTATCCACACGGAGCTTTGAAGGCGATCGGGAGCGCACAGCCACAGTGATGACCACCTCAGAATGTGATGACGGATTTTCGTCAAGCGATTTGGTCGAGTAATTAGAGGAAGCTTTGGAATAGATACCGAGTAGCTATCGGGTCTTTGTAAAGTTGGGGTGTAAAAGGGGGTAGTCTCTCTGACTTGTCTGCTCAAAAGTACAGATTGGAAAGAGGTCGGTGCTGGTGTTGCTGGTGCTGGACGAAGCTTAACCATATATGCTTATAAATATTGGTGCGTATCCTTTACAAGTAGCTACCTGGGTACAAGTGGCAGATTCACAAAAGCAATGTGAATCACCCTCCGTCATGGTCCAGAGCAATCATTGAATAATGGCATTTCCAACTAAATGCATGCCACCGTTGAGCGGGTGAATATATCAACCTGACATTCCCATCTACAAGCACTACCTGGGATAGATGACTGTTCTCAGAAGATTCACGGAGATGTACCAGTAAGTACCCAGTGGTACTCGAGTACTATATATGGAGAGCAAGCTTCACGCAGTGTCCAAATATACATCTGATAGCGCCACCTCTGAGCTCGGCTGATCAAAAAGGTGGAGAAAAGGAACAAGCTCTGGGGAAAACAATAGCTTCAGAATCAACACCATTCAATCACCTGCTCCAATCCCAAAAACCATTCAAATATTCCACAAATCAAGGAGAAATTGCGGTATAAATAGCACATCTCAGACCGTCTTTCTAATTCTCCCATATTGCCATCCCGTTAGCTCCATTTCGTCGTACTGCAGTTCCGCGGGCGCTTGTGACAACGTCCCTGCCCCACCTCCCATAAGAAACAAACGCCTTTCCCGCCCATTGCAACTTGCTGGTCCTCGAAACACCAGAATTTTCTCTGCATCCTCGTATGGACTCACCGGAATGCTGCGCTCTTGTTCGCAGATTAGGCCACGGGCCGTGGGGTTGACGTCGACTCGACAAGCTGGATCTTGTTTATATTACCCTAGAAATGCGAAAATTGTACAAAGAGCTTGTAACCACCAGAACCATGCCCATCACAAACCACCACCATGGAGGCCAGCATTTTCTCTGGACCAGTAAGGTATCCGAATATTCAGATTGATTCTAGAAGCTAATCTTTAAGCAGGTGGGTGGCAAAGGAAGCTCGTCCGATTAGTCTCAGACAGTTGATGGTATTTGGTCGCACATTGACTGAAAGTCGATTGATTAGCTCCGCCAACTATGTTCGGACGGAATTGCCAACTAGGTCGAAGCTCCATTCCGATTTTCAATACAATAACTAACACTTCTTTTAGATTAGCTCATCGTATACGAGATATGCAAACCCTTCCCTACGTCGTTGTCACGAATCCCCATATCAGCCAGGTGTACGAGTTATATTACAAGGCTTTTGAGGGATTGAGGAAGATCCCAGAGATTAAGACTTTAGAGGATAACAAGAAGTTTTGTGAAAAGATTGCGCAGAATCTACAAGAGCATCTTACAGTCATCCCAAGTCTGGCTATGGGAGTTTTGGAATGCAGAGATCTTATGGCACAGGAGGATATGGACAGATTCATGAACACCATACTGCGCTCGGTAAGGAATCCTTCTAAAAGCAAAAGGAGGGGAACTTTGGCTAACTATCCTCTTACAGCGGATTTCTCGTCGGGTAATAGCAGAGCAACACATAGCTCTTACAGAAACCTTTCACAGCCCACATCATTTCCCAGACGCACCACTTCCGGAAACTGAATTCGTAGGAGAAGTCCTTGTAAAATGCAATGCCAATGATATTGTAGCTCGCTGTGGCCATGAAGTTGCAGCTCTCGCGCAAGCCGCCTACGGTCCCTCGACCCTCCTCCCAGAAATCAAACTTTCAGGGCATCTCCACGCAACATTTCCATATATCCTAAGCCACATCGAATACATCATTGGTGAGCTTCTGCGCAACTCCATCCAAGCAATCGTGGAAAAACAACGCGCAACCCCAGGAACACCTACCCAACCACCTCCAATCGAAGTAACAGTCTGCGAGGCTCAACAACACGTCATAATCCGAGTCTCAGACCAAGGAGGTGGTATCCCAAGAGACATCCTCCCCCATATCTGGTCATTTAGCAAAGGTCCCCGCAGCCACGAGACCCTCGAGAATCTGAACCAAGTCCCCAAAATGGCTGCCACACTCCAAGAACTCCGCGTCTCGGACACAGATCTCCAATTCCCACAAAAACAAATCGATACCCCTGCCAAAAAACATGCCGCTAAGGAAAGACCGGAAACCTCACAATTCCATAAGACGGGGGTTCTGATGCACGATTCGTCCCTCGCATCTTTGAGCACACGGCCCCCAAACTTGAGACTGGGAATGGGGCTCCCGCTGAGTAGAGTGTATGCAGAGTACTGGGCGGGTAGTTTGGAGTTGCATAGTCTGGAAGGATATGGAGTTGATGCATTTTTGCAGATTAGCAAGTTGGGAAATAAGAATGAGCAGCTGACTATGAGGGCTAGTATGGATGCAGTTTAGAGATAGAAAGAGGGAAGGGGAGAGTGGCAAGGAGAAAAAGGGAGAAGAATAGAGGAAGAGGGGAAGGGAAGATAGCGTGTTTTTGTTATGCGAGCGGATATACCCATTAGTTAGTCAGATGTTGGTTTCTACTTTGGAAACAATTTGTTTTTCCTTTCAGAAATGAAAGAGCGAATTGGATATGAATCATATGATGGATGATGATATATCCACCGCGAGAGATCAGCCCTTCTATTTCCTTGCCTGCATGATACTACATCCCATCACGCCCAACAATCTGGCACTCCATACGTAATCCCAACTATCCCTCTCTCATAACCCCTGAAAGCAAAACGATATTTGTTGTAAGAATCCTTTTGCAAGTAACAACTATTGGGTTGAAAGGGTATTGGGTACTGAAGGTCATGGAGAATTGATTGCATTGTAAAAGGTAGCTATCTAAGGTGTTTATATAAAGAGTGTAAGGTTTAGGCAGACATGAAGCATTTAGGTAGCAGAACTATAAGTGGATCAAATAAGGAAGTGGAGCAAAAGAGAAAGTAGACCCAGCACAACAACAACCTAGTTGAAATTCCTCTATTACTAAATCTCCAATAATCCTCTAGAACTACGTAGCAGAACCTGAAAATACAACACCGGCTCGACGGCCCGACCGATACCTTTCCAAGTTACAGTACCTACACGTATAGTGATAATTAGAATGTCAGATCCAGTATATGATCTGAGGTCTCCAGCCAAAAGCTAGAGTGTGGCAATCTATATAACAATGAACCGTCTGCGTCGAACGCTCTTTTCGCTGGATCTAGGTACTGGAAAACATCATACCACATCACATCAGTAGTATATCGAAATTCAAAATTGAAGATGAGAAAATGAGAAAATCGAGTACGGAAAAACCTTGGTATAAGGATACTGGATATAAGGATAACCTCGTTTATATCCTTAAATTTTGGGTCCCGATTTCTTTTTGGTATACAGAAAAACCTGGCTATAAGGATAACCTCGGTTATATCCTTACGAAACTTGCCCCCGCGAATATCCTTATATCCAGGTTTTTCTCTAGTGTCAGTTCCCCTTCCTTCCCCCTACCCCTTACCTTTCCCTTTTCCTCAACTCTTTTATTCTCCCTCCCCCTCCCCCAAATACCACACCGCTCCAATCAAGATCCCAAAAAAACGTCTGTTCATGCTCGATCTATTAAGAGAACAGCTAGTCAAGTACTTCCCCATTTAGAAGAAGGAGACGAGATGATAGGGTTCGAGTATCGAATTGTGTTATGGTGTTATGCTTGGTAGGCAGTGACGGTGTTGTGTGGTAGAGCTACATCGATCAAGTAGGTCCTTCTTGTTCCTTTAAACCCTTCTAATACTCACCCCCTATCGAGGTGCACGTTTGTATTTGTCCTGGCTCACGTCTACGGTTGATCAAGTGCTGGTTTTACAGATAATGTTGGCAAAGGAAGGCATCATGTGAAGGACATCATCGAAAAGCATGAATTACACAACGGCTAAAGGACTAAGGCGGCGGTCAAATGAAGGCCAGTACCAAGGAGCTTCGCTGAGCTAGCTAGCTGCTATAAATTAAGCTACGCCATCTGCTACCACCATCATTTCGTAGGAAAACAGTGGCACTCCACCTTGCACAAGAAGAAAGAGGGAGAAGGAAACAGTGTATTGCACCGGCAAAACACAGATCAATCATCCCTTGGATACTTTTAAAGGAGGTAGTCCTGGAAAGAGAAAGAACATCAAGGATATTATTTGGCTCCAACTCCCCAAACCAACGCAACAAAAAATCAATCTCCTTAACGACGACCGTGACTGCGTACTGCACTTCCTTGCATTGCCTCAAGTTCCTGCTCCAAGGACTTGATAGCGGCGTGAGTGCTCTCCAAATCCTTGTTAAGACGATCACGTTCGCTGATGAGCTTCTGCTCCCATTGTCTGAATCGGTGTTCCTCAATCTTGACCTGCTCGGTGAATCGCTTTCGTAGACTCTCTTCCTCTTCCTTGAACTTGGGGTTATCAAGTTTTCGTGGTCTGGCCTCACCAAATTTACGGGTCTCCATCTGTTGAGCACGGTATGCCTCGTAGTGTGCCTCCTCGGTGGTGTGGATGAGGTCGAGCATGTGAGTTCTGATAAGAATGGAGCGGAGTTTCTTGAAATCGCAGTGATCCTCGTTCTCGACTTCGGCAACACCCCATGAGTATTGGCGACCCTTAACAATTCGTCCATCACTGGTCTTGACATCCTTCTCAGATCCGATAACAGCGAATGGCATAGCACCCATCAGACTTCGTGCGTGTTGTGCAGCAGCCTCATCATCCTCCTCGACTGGTGGTGTGTAAATCTTGATTCCCTGTGCGTCGATCACAGCTCGGATCTAGAAAGAAAAGTGTGAGTTGTTGTACTACCTCACCGCTGTGGTGTCCACTTACTCTTTGCTTGAATCGGGTCAGATCAGCTGGGCTGAGGGTATCTGCCTTTGCGACAACTGGGATAAGGTTGACTCTGGAGCTCAATCGCTTCATAACTTCAATATCTAATGGCTTCAGGGTGTGTCCAGTGGGCCTAATGAAGTACAAGCAGGCGTGTACACGGAGGTCGATTTTGTCAACACGGCGAGGTTGCTGCTCTTGCAACATATAAGACTCGTGCTGGTCATCCAGGAACTCGATGATTGGCATCCAAGAATCGCGGTTGTTCACATAGTCTCCAAAACCAGGTGTATCAATAACGGTGAGTCGGACTATAAACAATCAGTTACTGTACCACCACGGAGAGCAGGACATCTGCATATGGCATACCTTTGAAGAACTTCTCCTCCAACTCAGCCTTTGTGATCTCAATCTCAACAGTTTTGTCCACCTGCTTCGCGTGTCTGCGCTTGTGGTCGGCGTAGTTCTTGATTGTGGTGGAGAAGAGGGTGTTGATGAAGGTTGTCTTTCCTAATCCAGATTCTCCAGCAACCTATTACTTGTTAGCTAACCACTTTTGCCATGCTCTAGTTGAATGAGATTTTGAGTTTGCGGAAGCATACCATAATAGTGAAGGCAGCTCCTCTCTTTGCGACAATCTTATGACGCTGGTTGGGTAGATTGGCAATCCCGATTGGGGACGCACTCTCTGCTGCGGGTGGTGCCATTGTGAGGTTTTGTATTAGTCCTTGAGGTATTCAAGGTGTGAATTTGATGGAAGTCGGAGCTTCAGAAACAAATGTGTTTGTTGGGAAACTGTTGAAGATCGGAAGGTCAGTCGGTCTGTCTCTCTCAGGAGGTACCTGCTGGTGGTCGAGGAAATTCGCACCTGCCCCCTGAGCAACCCCGTATCGCGCTAGTGATCCCTGTAGGGCAAAGGAAAAAGGTTGATCCGACCGCCAAGACATTGAGAAAATCGTGCAGCCCAGATAGCGATAAAAAAAGTTCGCGATAGCAGAACTCGGAACCGCAACTGCACAGCGGCAATGTTCACGCAACGATAGCAATGAAGACGGAGTTCAAGGTATGAAGCTCAGCCCAACTTTTCCGCTGCATTGACTAATTCTGTTTAGTTCTCCAACCTTTTGGGGACTGTCTATAGTCAGGGAAACCTGCTATTCAGTCCGGATGGATCATGTCTCTTTTCGCCTGTAGGCAATCGAGTTACTGTCTTCGACCTTGTAAAGTACGAATTGCCCCTCGAATTCAATGAAGATATACTTACGTCTCCACAGTAACAAATCCCACACTCTCCCATTCGCGCATCGAAAGAACATCGCACGAATTGGTCTCACACCGCGGGGTAATCTCCTTCTATCGATAGACGAAGACGGTCGCGCAATTCTAACAAACGTCCCCCGAAGGATTGTCCTACACCACTTTTCATTCAAGGGGGCAGTTACGGCTCTTTCTTTCGCTCCCTCGGGACGACATATAGCTGTAGGAGTTGGACGACATATTGAAGTATGGCATACACCCTCAACGCCAGATCAAAATATCCATGGGGAATTGGAGTTTGCGCCTTTCGTGCGCCACAGAGTATATGCCGGTCATTTCGATACTGTGCAGCACATCGAATGGTCCGGTGATTCTCTATTCTTCCTGAGTTCTGCAAAGGACTTGACAGCCCGAATATGGAGTCTGGATCCCATGCCCGAATTTGTACCAACAACACTGGCCGGACATCGAGAGGGTGTGATCGGGGCATATTTTTCCAAGGACCAGGAAACTATTTATACTGTCAGCAAGGATGGAGCAGTATTCCAATGGGAGTATGTTGGGCGGCCTAATGCGCCAGAGTCGGATATTAATGAAATGAAAGATGATGGGGGCGACGAACGATGGCGAATCACGGAACGACACTATTTCTTACAAAATAATGCGAAAGTAAAATGTGCGGTATATCATCCGGAAACGAATCTATTAGTGGCGGGATTTTCGAATGGGGTTTTTGGTTTGTACGAGATGCCGGAGTTCAACATGATACATACCCTAAGTATTTCACAAAATGATATCGATTTTGTTACTATCAACAAAACTGGCGAATGGCTGGCGTTCGGGGCCTCAAAATTGGGACAGCTTCTGGTCTGGGAGTGGCAATCGGAGTCATACATTTTGAAACAACAGGGGCATTTTGATTCTATGAATGCTTTGGTTTATTCTCCAGACGGACAAAGAGTTGTTACGACCGCCGACGATGGAAAGATCAAAGTTTGGGATCTCAATTCCGGATTCTGTATCGTTACTTTTACTGAACACACGAGCGGAGTCACAGCTTGCGAATTTGCAAAAAGGGGCAACGTGCTTTTCACATCTAGTCTCGACGGCTCAATAAGAGCGTGGGATTTAATCAGATATCGAAATTTTCGAACTTTCACAGCACCCACTCGACTTTCGTTCTCCTGCTTGGCTGTAGATCCAAGTGGTGAAGTCGTTTGTGCTGGATCCCTTGATTCATTCGATATCCACATCTGGTCCGTTCAAACTGGGCAACTACTTGATAGGCTAGCAGGACATGAGGGTCCAGTTTCATCGTTGGCATTTGCGCCAAATGGTAGTGTTGTTGTAAGTGGAAGTTGGGACCACACTGTCCGAATATGGTCCGTTTTCGATCGAACGCAAACAAGCGAGTCTCTGCAGCTTCAAGCAGATGTATTGGATGTTGCGTTTCGACCCGATTCGCGACAACTTGCCGTTTCCACTTTGGATGGTCAATTGACGTTCTGGTCCGTTTCTGAAGCAGAGCAGCAATCTGGGGTAGACGGACGAAGAGACGTATCAGGAGGCCGAAAAATAGGAGACCGACGAACTGCTGCGAATGCGTCCGGAAATAAAAGTTTCAGTACGCTGAGATATAGCTCGGATGGCAGCTGTGTTCTTGCGGGCGGAAACAGCAAGTATATTTGTTTGTATTCAGTTTCATCGCTGGTACTCTTAAAACGATTTACAGTCAGCATCAACTTATCGCTTTCTGGAACTCAAGAGTTCCTGAACAGCAAACTCCTGACAGAAGCCGGACCCGCTGGTCTTATTGACGAGCAAGGCGAAGCCTCAGATCTTGAAGACCGTCTGGATAAGACTCTACCAGGCTCGACGCGCGGTGGTGACCCCTCTGCACGAAAACATAACCCTGAAGTCCGAGTCACGGGTTTGGCATTTGCTCCTACTGGACGCTCCTTTTGTGCAGCTTCCACAGAAGGGCTTCTCATTTATAGCCTCGACACAATTCCTCTCTTTGATCCTATTGATCTTGACCTTGCTGTAACCCCAGCATCCACCTTGCACGTCCTGGAAAATGACAAGGACTATCTCAAGGCTCTCGTTATGGCATTCCGCCTCAACGAAGCACCTCTCCTCCGCCGTGTCTTTGAAGCCATCCCTCATCCCAATATCTCTCTGGTCGTTTCCGAGTTACCCATTGTTTACATCCCACGCCTCCTTCGATTTGTATCGATGCGAACAGAAGAATCTCCCCATCTTGAATTCTGTCTTCTCTGGGTCCAAGCGATATTAACCTCCCACGGCCAATGGGTGAGTGATAATCGCGGACAGGTCGACGCAGAATTGAGAGTTGTAGCAAGAGCAGTAGGAAAGATCAAAGATGAGTTAAGGAGGTTAGCAGATGAGAATGTATATACGATTGATTATTTGATCAATCAACCTGTAGCCAAGGTTGGTCCTCAAGATGGACAGAAGAGTATCACCAATGGATTTGGGGGCGATGAAGAGATGGTTGACGATGTGGACGAAGATGCAGAGTGGATTGGGTTAGATTAGGGAGTACGTATGGGTTTATCTTTGGAAGGGTAATTCCATTTGGGAGTAAATATGTAGGCAATGTTTTTCAAAAGGTTTAAAAATGAAATCTCGAAGTTGAGCGTTGGAACATGTGACATTTTCTCTTTTCGAAAATTCCTAGAAGAACTGAATTTCTCATTGCCATTGAACCACCATTTTCTTACTCCTTGTATAAAATTCGTGCCCAGCTTAGTTGAGACATGATTACCCCGCCGTTTCAGCTACGAGGTGACTAATCCCCATCGTCTCATCTAGTTTCTGGGGAAAAAGACCAAGAGGCGAAGCCCCATCACATGACGTAACTCCCTTCTCACCAAAAAAAACTCAGTCCACCCTCCCTGCTTAGTCCCAACCAAGCATTCCACCTCCATCAAAGAACCTTTTCTCAATTCAAAAAAATTGCTTTTCATCAAATATTCACGGCACGCGACCTCCTTCCGAATCTAAACCATTGAGTATTATTAAAGCACTTTTCCTCTTTGTACTTGCTTGGGCTGGTTTGTATTAAGTCATAAAGTACATTGACTTGGGATTTGGTGATGATATAAGACGTCATTTGACGGTCTGCGGTTAAAGGGTACCGAGTTTTGATTTCCCAACCAGGGAGGGATTTGAATTGGAAAGGGAGAAAGTAGATATACGGAAAATTCGAAGAGGAAGAAACAGAGAGACAAGATGTTTCCTCCGGCTCAGACTCTGAATTTGGATATTACTGCTATTAGTGGGATTTGTGGGTGAGTTTGTCCTGTACTGGTGTTTTCAAATTCACCCAATATGAATGAATTTTGGGTCTGGAAAGGTGAAGAAATATAGATGGCTTTTGCTAATTCATGAGTTAGGTCCGTTTCGATTGCTTGCTGTAAGTTTGTTTTGATTGTGGTTTTATGAGGTATGAGGATGTTTCAGTTGAAGCTCTCTTCCATTGTTCTTGGAAACCTGAGAGTGTCTATGGCATGGCGGAGAGCATTTAAGTCGGTGATGATTATCTCTGGTTTTCTGGTTTTTCTCGCTCGATGCTCTTTTGGAATGCCCGCCTTTTCAGCTGCTTTTGGCGAGTTGTTACACACTAGGTTCATAGGCTTATGGTATCTTGCTTTTGGTTTCAAGGACTTAACGGTTCACTCCTATCTCACAAAACTGCTAACTAACATGGCTGAATAGGGATCGTTGTATTTTCACCCCAAATTATTGAGCAGTTTCGTCGAGGTTCAGCAGATGGCTTATCCCTTCAATTTATCATCGTCTGGCTTCTAGGCGATATTTTCAATATTCTCGGAGCTGTATTACAAGGTGTTCTACCTACGATGGTACCTGCTCTCCACATGAATTTTACAAAAAGTCTCATACTAACACACATACAGATTATACTTGCAATCTATTACACAATAGCAGACATAGTCCTACTTCTCCAATGCTTCTACTACAGAGGCTTCACCTTCCGCGATGAAGTAATTCCACCACCAAAGCCCCTCCATGCGGACGCAGAATCCCACATTGGCGAAGCAAACGAAAGGACAGGACTCCTCCCCACAGTCCGAGAACGTCGTGAAAGTTTCCTCTCCGAAACCTCAGTCTCGGCATCCCATCTCTCCCCTGCAGTGCCACTGCAATCCTCTCCAGCACCGATAACACAACCAACAACCCGTCTCCAAGCCACACTCTTCAACCTCTTCTCCATTACTATGGTTTGCTCAGCGGGCGTAATGGGTTGGTACATCTCCGAACGCACGCAATCCCCACAATCTGCACCACTTCCAGACAGCGACTCAGCCTTGAAATTTAACCTTTGGGGTCAAATCTTCGGCTACCTCTGTGCAGTTCTCTATCTCGGTTCCCGTATTCCTCAGATTCTTCTCAACTATAGACGCAAATCCACCTCAGGAGTCAGCATGTTATTCTTCCTCTTCGCTTGTATCGGTAACCTGACATACGTACTCTCCATCCTGGCATACGAGCCCAGATGCACGGGAAAACACGGCCGATGTAGAGATGGTGAGATGGCACGTCTGTATGGGAGGTATATTGGCGTTAATGCCTCGTGGCTTGCGGGGAGTCTTGGAACACTATTCCTGGATTTGGGGATCTTTATACAGTTTTTTATTTATCGTGACGCTGAAGAGGGGGAGGTTGCTCAGCATGGAGAGGGGAGGGAGCACAGACCGCTGCTTGAGAGGGGAGATTCTTCAATCTGAATTTTTGGTTTAACTGGAAAGGGGAGTTAGGTGTTGGGTATGGAATCATATCAGACTGCATCGTGTACATCACATAAAAGGCATATCATAAAAGTTTTGAAACCAGTACTCTTGATGAAGCTTACCTATGCCAGTTACTACCACCTCCCAAACTACCGTGTCCTCAGCGGGATCTCGACGAAAGAAGGAAATAACAGCACGCAGAATTAAAGTGATCGCAAGTTTTTTTTAAACATAAGTGTATTTTGAAAAAGAAAGAAAAATCTAGGTACAACCTCAACTCCCCCTACTCCCATGCCCAACTCCCCGCCCCCCAGGCACGAAACCAGCAAAGAAAGAACCACCAGGAAGAAAAACAAACAAACACAAAACATTGTAACAAAGCGAGAGGAGGAAAGACGACGGATTTACCGACGTCTTCCCCCTCCGCTACCACCACGACGAGGACCTCCACGAGCGGAGCCCCCACGGCGACCGAGGCCTCCACATTGGGCGGGAGGACCGCGAGGGTGATGTCCTCCTCGGCAAGGAGGAAGAACATCACGTCCCGCAGGACCCTCACCACCTCCTGCAGCGCCCCGGCGTGGAGCACTACCGCTCGAGAAAGGAGCTCCTTGTGCAGGAGCCCGAGCAACAACAGGGGGAGCAAACTGGCTCCGACGAATGTATGTGGCATTCTCCTTATAATGCCACATATCTCGCTGAAGACAAATCTTCAGCCATTCGCTGGCCAGTTGCTCCATTGGCCAAGCCGATACCCTCTCTGGATGGGTCATCCAATTATGAGTGTACCAGACTTGCCATCTGCTGAAGCTCTCCAAGTCGTAAAACGGAAGGACATGATCCAATTCATCGAGCGTGATGGGTTTGTTGCCGCTGGCAGGTGTTTCCAAGGTGATGTTGAGATTACCGATGCTGGTAAAATCGTTGAGGGCCCAGACTAGTTGTGTCAAGTGCCAAAAGATGGGAGTGCTGCCAGTATCAAGAGCACCACGGTCATCACGGAAAATATGTGCCTCAGCCAGTGCGGGGTGGTCGATGAAAGGATGTGAGAATGGGCGGAACATCTGGTTCTCTCGAGGTGGAAAGATGATGCGGACGAACAGGTTGCGGACATTTTGTTTGAAGTCCAGACCCAACTTTTCAACATTGTCCAAGACCGAAAGGGGTATAAAATCAACAGTGACAGGTGTAACCTCCTTTCCTTTTCCCTTAGCATTACCGGTGGGGTCGGCAGCTAGGCTCGCAAAGAATTTAGCAGCAGCCGGGGTGTCCATCTTTTCATTCTCTTTGAAGTAATCAGCAATTCCTTCCGTATCGTCCTCCATTGCATTGAGGTAAGGTCCACCAATGACGATCTCAGCATATTTGTCTTGAAAGAACTGAGCCCGTTCACTCTCGGTCATCTTTGCAAGGGCTTCCAAGAAGTCATAGCCATTCTCTGGATCAAATTCGTTGAACTCCTTTCTATCAACCTTGCCATTGGGGAGGTGTATTTCTTCGATGCGAATGGCATTGTAATAGATACCATCATGAGTGATGACAATGTCCTTGAGCTTCTTATCCTTTCGAGTGAAATAACTCCTAACCTGGGGATGGCCAGAAGGAACGAGACTCATGCTGTGGTTTTCAAGCCGGTGTGGTTTACCATGGCAGCGATCCATCTCACGGTGCATGTGCTGGCAGTTGTCACATCGCTTCAATCTCATAGCTCGAGGAGCAGTCGGAACCATGTCTTTGAAATAGAATTCATCATTTCCGGATGAGCGAGATGATGAAGCAAGCATGTTGAAAGGGTTGGGAAGCATAGCCAGACGGACAAGAGGACCGTGGCTAGAGTTCAAATTGGTTGGAGGAGGAGCAGAACTCGAAGCCGTGTTAGCTGGATGGTCGAAGTTATGGTTGGGGTTGAGGAGAGGGCCAGGGTTTGAAGCCGTGTTACCGAAATAGCCGACGTTATGGTTCAAGTTTTGGTGTAGGTTGGCAACAGGGCCATGGCTTGAAGATGGGCCAACAAGCCGACCAGAGTTGTGATTTGAATTGGCAACATGGATATAACCCGAGGATGGACCACCAAAGTTATCGACGTTATGGATGAAGTTTTCGTTTGGGTTGACGCCAGGGTAATGATTTGAAGATGGACCAGCGAACTGACTAACGTTATAGTTGAAGTTATCGGTTGGATTGACTTCAGGTGGATAACTTGAAGATGGACCAGCAAGGTGATCGACGTTACGGTTGAAGTTATCATTTGGATTCATGCCAAAGGGATAACCTGAAGATGGACCAGCATGATGAGCAAGGTTACGATTTGGGATAGCAACAGGACCATAATTTGGAGCAGGGCCAGCATGATGAGCAAGGTTGCGATTTGGGTTAGCAACAAGACCATATTGTGTGTATGGGTGACCACATTGGTCAAAGTTCTGGTTGGGATAGTGAACATGACTGGCATGAGAAGAGTTGGGAGCAGGGGCGCTGTTAGGAGTCATGTTGCTAAGCGAGATGTTGTTCACTGGCCGAGGGTGGTTGAAATGAGCACCAGGGTTTTGCGAGGCCCGCGGAACAAACGCCGGGGTCGCAGGATTGAGTCGACTTGGTGAATTTGCTGCCTCCGAAACCGGTCGTCCAAAGGTTCTGAAAGTGTGAACAGGAGGACGGGCATCTGCAAAGGGCGTAAAAGTAACGTTGGGACGGAAGCCGGTACCTCGGTTGGGGCCAGTATAGTGGTTGTTGCCGAAGCCTACAGGCTGGCCAAGTGCGGGACCAAATATTCTGTATGTGTTCACGGGAGGAGGGGCATCTGCAAAAGGAGTAAATGTGACCCTTGGACGGAAGTCGGTGCCTCGGTGAGGGCCAGTGTAGTAGTAATTTTGGAAGACTACAGGATCACCAAGGGGACGACCAGTGGTTCTCTCGAAGTTCATAGGAGGGGTGGCATTCGCGAGAGGGGTCTGGATGACGGTGGGAACGAAGCCAGTGCCTCCGTGGGTGCCAGTATAGTGGTTGTTGTTGAAGTCAACAGGCTGATCAAGTTGGGGCTGTTGTCTGGGTGCTGCTGGTTCGTGCAATGCCACGACTTGGGATTCGTAAATTTCCGGCTCCCGCTCGAAGACAGCTGTGTGTTCGTTCACGTTCAAACCTTGGCGCTGGAAGGTGTCAGTCAGTCGAAGTTCAAGATCAAGCTTTGGGTGACTTGGATATCGTTACCGAGGAGAAGACTTGAGGCTCAAACTCGTTGTAGGTCCCCACCGATGGGTCAAATACAGGAAATGGCTCGACGGAGGTGTCAGATGAGCTGCAGGAACTCAAATTAATATTGCCTTCAGTAGCGCTATCCGCGCGGCTGAGCTTGCTGTGTGATGCCATATTCTTTGCTGGGGCACTTGCGCTCGGCGAATCTGTTAATGTTAGGCCGATTGGATGAGTCAAGAAGAAGCTAGGACTGACAAGGTAGCAGAAGATGCTTGGGAGTAGAAGCTGTGTCGAAATGAATTGGGTTTGCAAGAAACAGGTTCTCCAAGGAGAAAGACGACGATGCAGAAACAAAATAAGTGCTAGAGCTCTCAAAAAAGTTGTTGATGGTGGGAAGAAGGGAGGAAAGCAGATTAGCTCAAGACAGAGAAGATAAAGGCAGGTGGGGCAGCAAATTTCAGTAGAGGGGAAGCAGATTCGCAAGCTAATGAAACTTATGACATCTACTGATGTTGAAAAGAGAGGGGTAAGATATCAACTTCTCTCTATTCACCTAGATACCCTCAAGTAATTGACCAATGAGACGCAAATAAAAAAACCATCAGAAATATCAGTTCAAAATCAATAAAGAGGCTGGGAAAAACTCACTATAGCCTGGTAGGACTGAGAAGGGGTCGTGTATTCTTGTGTAATTGCTAAGCGAGAGTGAATTGGCAAGACCAGCCGACAAGTGGGTCCAGGCAGCCTCTTTGTTTGTTTGTCTTAATTTTTACGTTGATGCAATGTTCCAACGACAAATTTCCTTTGCCTGTGTCAGCTGCCATGAATTCACAGAAAAATCAGGTAACCTGATTGTACCTTCTTCTTGTGTACCAACCCCCTTTATCTGGAAGAGAGTGGTCACTTCTGTTGCAAATTACAATGTTAGCAAATGTCAACCCAGATTTCTCTATTATATCAAAGAGAAGCTTTGCATTTGGATTGGAAACTGTCTGTCTGGTCATATGCAGTTGCGATGTCTGGTGAGTAAAATTTCATGATGTTGACGTGGGGGCAGGGGTCAAGATTAAGCGAGGTGGAAATGCTCCTGATGTACTCGTAGGGCGTCAAGGTCCAGGACGACAACTAATGATCCCGGTATCGGCTCATACAGAGAAGCTCAAAGAGAAATTGATTTCAGGAGATAACCCGAGATCGGAATGTAATCATACGAATGGCAATAGCGAGGCAGTGTTGTATCATAGGGGATGCCGAGAGTCCCAAGCCGAGCGGGATCAAGACCAAAGCTACCAAAGTACCCCAAACAAAAATCAAAGGTAGACTCACCAGTAGCCTCGGTTACAACATTGAAGCCCAGAAATAACTCGGGATAGTTTCAGCCGGCAATCCTATCCCGATTTTTGTTTTTTGAATATTGAACTAGCCTCTTCGAGATTCGCCAAGAACTTGCTGCAAAGAGTGAGAATGTAAAGGTGAAAGAAATGTTAATGATACCTGCGTCCGTCTCTGCAATGATTAAAGATATTCAAGATATCCAAATGTGGAATGGTAACGACCGAATGATTATGCAAATGCTGAGATTGCACAAAATTTGTGTTGGATCGGAGATGCTGTTGGTGTGAGGTTGGAAGTTGGGAAATGAGTGGTCAATGAGCGACTTTTATAGACAACAATTTGCAGTGAATCAAAGCAGCTATGCCAAGTCTCACAAAAGGAAGCCACGATGCACAGTAACTTGAGAAGGTCACCTTGAAGTTGAGAAGTAGGAAAGCTTCACTCTCTCCCGTAGTTATATATAAGCTCGTCAAAGTGAAAGTGCCACTTGCTGAGAAATATGCTAAAGAAGCCACGATACACATTTACTGTATAACATCTTCTGACCAAATTCGAGAAGTTTCACCCTCATAGCTAACTTATCCTTTCCACGAGTAAGAGGCACACCAACAAGCGTGCACTCCCAGGTGGAGTTCAGAAGGCCACTTGCACAACATCTTCCTCTTGAAATAAATTAGATTGACCAGTCAGACAGAGTTGTCAAGCGACTAAGCCTCAACCAAACCCAATGATTATACCCATCATGTATTCCATGTCCTGGGACCACCAGGCTTGGCACCTCTCAATTGCAGAAGTGCTAAGTAAGCTTGCCAAAACCTCAACTTGTCAAGCGGAATATGTTGAGTTCTAAAAATATCCGAATTATCCATTCGGCTATTACCACATCCCACCAATAGCCTACCGAAACCGGCGACTTGAAACAGTGAATTCAAACCAGAAAGACACAGGAGATGAGAGCCTAAAGTGAATTGCAAAAAAAGAAACGGCATCCCGAGATCTCCCGATATTATTTCCTAAGAAAAGTGATACCACCAGCAAAGAAGAACACAACCGTCATCTATCTGCGTAGAACCTCAATCTCTCACCCAAGAGCAATAGCAAAAGAGATACCTAAGCATCTGGCACCCCCACAAAATAGCACCAGAAATACCCAAGCATCAGGAGTCATCCAGATAACTTGTAGGTACCGAGAAACTGTCTAATTTTGTCTCTTGCGGCCTACAGTTCGTCACTTGTCTCATTTCCCACGGGGCCATTTGAACTTTTTTGTGCGTTTGAACTGTGGTTGAGGCCTGGGGGTGTTATCTTCTCCTTTAGATTTAAGGAAGGTGTGGCTGTGCTAGGGGTGGTTAGTGCAAGGAGTGAAAGAGAATGCACTTGATCGAGAATTAAGAAATTGAGACTGTGAGGTAAAGTGTGAAGTTCCATCAATAGAGACCTCATCCGCTACATTGTATTTCGACTTCTGCTTAATCGTATCAACTCGACACCGCAGGCAGACCAAGCTATAAAATCTGGATTCTCGGTAGCCACGTTCGATTCCTCCCTCTTCAACCTTTAGCCGTCTCACATCAAGCTTGCAAACCAACAAAGTCATGACATTTTCTTTCAAATCCCCAGTCGTAGTCTCAAATCACTCCCACAGAGCTTACCTACACCTTCTTATCTAAATCCCAAAACTTATCATTTTTAGCCTCGAAGTATACATTGGGATCAAAATCAAGCTCATATTATGTTGTCCAATACAGACATCCCATGAAGCCCACTTCCCCACACCAACATCCCATTCCTTCTACAAATAATTATTGTTGCGGCCTTCCTCTGCACTATCGCTTAATATAGATAATTTCCTATTCTCAAGCTGTGCACACAGAACTACGAGAGTTAACCTCCGCTTGACTGAACAACCGCAAGGGGTAAACCTACGAAATTAGAACCTACTTGACTAATCACCAACACCTCTAATTTCCATGTCTAATTATTCTAATATACCCAAATAATACAAAGTACAATTTACATACTTTCAAAGTTCCAATGATTATGTACCTTCCGATACCTTCACAACGCGTGGTCTAAATCCCATTCCCCAACACTGGCTAAACCAATACACAACAATACCTTACTAATCTACATACCATAATAATCAGGTCTCAAATAACCTATCATCTTTGAAAAGCCCGGCGTATCAACGATTATAACCTTGTCTCATAGAAAAGAATTAGCATTTTCCAAACAAAAAGGTGTTACCTAATTACCGACTACCCTCCGTTTAACCGCTTCCGCTATTACTACTATGTCCACATTCTCCTTTCTTTTCTTTTTCAGCTACTTCACTTTTACTTAAGCGGTTAATAGCCTAAATGTATCCAACACTACTAGCTAAAGTATGATGATACGTAGAAGAGATGGTGTAAAGGCCAGATAATTGTGTTCCGGGAGGATATGATAAATGGTAATGCAAAGTGGTTTTGTTAGGGAAATTTATAAGATATGATTTGTAGTCTAGATTAGAATCTTATCTTATATTGATTTGTTACCTTGTATCCCAAATGTCACGGTATAATATGCATCACAATCTCGACCCAAAAACCAGCCCAAGCTAACATTCCAACAAGAGACTAGAAAATGCCGGTCTTGATAGACAGTAAGGGGGTAGGGCGTGAGGATGAGATGATGTCCACTATATCGCTAGTGATTTGGAGACTTGATGGGTACAATGCCAGAAAATGTACCTGTACTTGAACCAGTCGAGGATTTAACTAAACCTTTCAAGAAGCGTAGGCCCGATATATAAGGTAGAGCACCTCCGGTCTACAAACACGTATTCTCGCACCTTTACTTACAAGCTGATCACTTCCAAGCACGCAAAATACATCGTGACAATAAAAGCATCAATCGACTTCTACTTTATAAACCCACAAAAGAATATCTCAACCCCAGCATTCCATTCCATTCCGAAAATCCTATCCAAAAATAAAACATCCGGAGTATTTAACCAGAATTCCAAACTCTAAAACGCCCCCTTCCCAACCATCCCGCCGTTCTACCTTGTCCTCTATACCCCAAGTCTATCCCCAAAGCGCATCTTTCCCTCGGTTCTTCCCCGATATCGTCGGTGGAGACAGGAGTACCGACGACCAAGCTTCCCTCCCGTCAACATAAAGGCGGAACTTGAGGATACTCTGATCACTAGCAGTATTCTCAATCGTGATAGCACCAAGTTTCGAGTTGCCATTTGGGATATACCTGACTTCATTAGTCCTGGTCGAAAGGGGAAATGGAGGGAATGAAGAGAAAACTCACTTAACCATAACATCCTCCTCATCAGTTTGCTTGTATGTTGGCGTGGGTAAGTAGAACTGACTCAGAGGACTCGTAGAAAACTCATTAACAGTCGCACTAATTGGCCACTTCCCACCAACAGGAGGTGGGAAAGCAGTAGCAGCGAACTCATGTCTATCACCACTCAAAACAATGACGCCCACACCACCCCTTAGTCCAACGTCCCACATAGCTTCCAGAATAACCTTACGTTCGTGGAGATATCCAGACCAAGTATCCAGAGCATTGACCCTCCAGTTCTTCGTGAATGGAATACTGGAAGCGATGATCTTCCATTTCACCCCTTTCGGCTCAGGCTTAGCGAGGAAATGGAGAAGATCAGCGAGTTGTTCTGGGCCGAGCATTGTTTTTTCAGTGCTGTTTACGGGAAGGTCACCAGATGCATCACGATATGTTCTAGTGTCTAGCATGAAGAAAGTTGCGGGTCCTTGGGTAAACTCAAAGTATGTGGCGTCCTTTCGAAGCTGATTATATGTACCAGCCTGACGAGCTTTTGGTGGGTTGACAGATGTCTGGTAGTGGTGCCATGGGTCTTCTGCTGCTTCATATACGCCGGTAGTATTGGCATCCCAATCATTTGCAATCTCATGATCATCCAAAACGTGAATCCAGCTCATGTTTTGTCCGGCCAATGGCCAGTCTGGTGAGGCGTAAACTTGACGATATTCTCTTCGATAGTCCTCCACGTCAGTACCAAATCGCCTTGGAACATCTACGTAGATGAAATCGCCAAGGAATAGCATGAATTGGGCTCCGCCTGGAATTGATTTGACCACATCGGCCATATGTTTAAAGCCTGGAATGGCTAAAGGATGTAGGGTCGGGTTGTATGGAAAACGAGGTTTGACACAACTTGATGTCAAGAAAGTGAAAGAGCCTTGTTTTCCAACTTTACCAGGTTTTGGCGGAATGGTAAAAAATCCGGTATGATTGTTCGACGTACTCCATTGATATTTTCTATCTGGGTAATTGGGTAGTGGAAAGGTAACAGTTCCAGTATAATCGGTATCGTTACCAAGAGAGGAAATCACGCCAGCGCTCTTCCATGCAGGATCTTCGTATGAAGCTGGGACGTCTGCCAACCTGTATGATACAAATATTGGGAGTTGAGAAGATTCAGGCTCTCGGACCAAGATGCTGGCTTCTGTAGGCGAAACGTATCCCAGTCGTGCAAAAGAAAGATCATTGCTTGGGTGATAGACTTTTGCGCGGTATATCAAGTCTACAGCAGATAATACCAGTAGAGAATTAATCAAGAAAGTAGCTAGAGACAACAGCGTTGATGTCGGACTCGGAAGACCAGTCAGGAGCGTCTTCCATGGTTGTGCGCTTTTCCTCCCAAGTGTCACCGTCTCCGCAATATCAATCTCCTCCTCCAAATGCACTGGCTTTTGCCCTGGTGGAATATTCTGGGAATGTGCCGCTGTCGACGAGTATGTTGGTGGCTGGTCTTCTATTTCTGTCTCGGTAACCACGACTTCCACCTCATCCTCGAGAACCTCGTAGGGTTTCTGGCTGAAGAAACTCGAGATAAAAGAAGGGACATAGATTGCGAATAATGAATAAACAATAGGCGGTAAATGCTAGCACAAGATAATTAGCATGTGGTTTGCAATTATAGACTAGAACGTAGCTCACATGGCCGGGAATGATCCTCAAAAAGATGTAGGTGGCTATGCGCAGAGCAATGCTACTCGCGATTGTGGCTTTATCCTGTAAAGTCATGATATATTGATATCAGGAGAGTGCGGGCATTAGAAGCTGGAGATTTGCAATTGTATAGATTGTTGAAAAAGAAACGGGGAGTTGCAATTGCAATAGTGGAGGAGGGGGAGGGCGATGGCGTTGACGATGCCGATTGTCAGCAGCCAGGAAACGCGACTTGACTTTCTTGGTGACGGCATTGGACAGGGTGTTGGGCAGGAGGAGTGAGCGCCACAGCTAGCCCGTTTTAGCGAAATTGTGGCTGAACTTGTGAAACACCCCTCAACTCCTGGGAAGCTCTCAGATATCTTTCCCCACATGTTCGAGGTTGATGATTGATTTCTGTGAGACGATGAGCTTGTGAAAGCTATCGGTCTTCGGACCCGTTACAGGAGCAAGGATTTTCCGATATCGGGACAGACTGGGTAAAAGGGGTTAACAGAGTAAGCGACTCCGCAATTTCAGATGCTGTGAACTTTTGTGTAATCAAGGCGGCTTCAAAAGGATCGGGCTGGCCAAAGGCACTTGTCAGACAACGACCTTGTGATGACAATCGGTTTTCGGACGCGACTTAGGAGCGAGGCGCTTCGGTCCTGCCTGACTACACGGGGTAAACAGGAAAATCAACCCCAAAAGCAGAACTACATGTGTAATCAATCGTCGGATTTAAGAGATTTGAGTCGCCCTAAAGCAAGTGCTTTGTAATACACTGTTTGTTTTTGTACACCAACGTTTGATATCACCTGATATTTTCAATGTGTGGCCTCCAGTTGAAGAAGTGTATAAAAGCTAACAATATCTCCTGATCGAGATGGTTGTGTTTTAGAATACCATCTTCAACAATCAAAAGCGGAAAGGCTTCGCTCAAACGCTTTCAACCAACAACTTCCAGCTTTCGAGATTGGCAATCCAAATCTACCACAATGGCAACTGCAAATAAGATTCTTTTGACCGTTGACGACATAGGGATTGTGAAATACAAACCTCAAACCCCTGAGACGGCAAGGAGAACTTCGGAACTTCTTCAAGAAAACCATGAGGTAAACTTCCATATTCATTTCTCTCCGGCTATACACCTTCGTTCTCTTGAAAGCCTAGGCCCACTCAGTACTCTGGATATACCTTCAGAAGAAGTTGAGCTAGACTTTCTATACCAGCAAAGTCAATGGTCAAAATATGAACTTATAAAGAATTCGCTTCAACCACTCACCCCCTCCCACTACACATTCCCTTCACTCAACTCCCCAGAAAAACAACCACAACATGAAGATTCCCCACAAACCCCTAACAACCCCATTAGAAGCACCACACATACTTCAACAGCAGTCGCGGCTTCCACAACCACATAGTCCACGGTATCCTAACCCTTTATGGATTGGGCGCTCCAACTTCCGTCATAGAAACACACTACAAACTGAATGCCCCTTACCAACGACCTCTCAATCTCCCGTACACCATCAACCTTCCAGTCCCTGACCTCAAAAACCCAGAGGTCTTCAGGAAAAGCTTAGGGGATGAGAAAAACTATGCATTCTTTCTCGAGTTTTTCAAGAAGGAGATTGAAGAAAAGGGATGGGAGAATGTATTGTTGGAGTATATGTTCGCAGAAGGGGAGAGGGGTGATGATATGTTTGGTAGAATGTTTGAATGTGAGTACTAAGTTTTCCTATAGCTTGAGGGGCGATGGAAGGAAGGAGGTGGAGTTGAGTGTGTGATCTTGGGGATTGAGGACAATTTGAAGAATTTCCTTCTTGATTCTTCTAAATCCTCTGGAAGGACATCTTGAATTGCTCAAGAAACATCTCGAAGACTGCACAATGCCACAATCCACCCTCCACAACTCCAACCCCTCTCGCCATTCCACGACTCCTTCTCATTTCACACAAACACATACATAAATCTAACAACCACAACAGCTATCTTCCACCCAATAATCCACCTAGGCTTCGGCATCGAATTCCACCAACCAGCCATCATAGCCGAAGCACTAGCACAAGCCTGCGTCCACCCAACTCACACAGGCGAGTATCTCCTCTCGGTGGAACGAGCCCTTCAATCCTCTCCATCATCAAAAGCGGCCCCAAAAAAGATAAAGGAGATCTTGAACATGATACACAACGACAAAAAGCTATCAGTAGCCGCGGACAAGAAATCCGAAGACCTATTACGAGACGGTGTCTTAACCCACGCTCGGGAAGAGATGATATCTTACGCGAAACTGTACAACAGTCTGCCCCCCCTTTTCCCTCCACCTACAAGCTAAGTACCCTCGCTAACCAACCCCTCCCAGCACCACCCGATGCCATCCCTTCTCTCACACACGCCATGATACAAAACAGCATCTACCTCTCCGCCACGCCCGCACCAGCCCCCTACGATCCCATAAAGATCGATTTCCTGCTGATGCACTGCGCCACGGTATCGATTCTCTTCCCAACCTTGCTGTCCCTCACTTTCCTCACGCCCTTTATGGCCGTGCGACTCGTGAACTTCAAGGTCTGGTCTGATCTCTTCCTGTACGCGACTCGGAACGCGCCGAGATTGGCGGAAAATGAGATGGAGAGCTATGATCCGAGGGCCTGGAAGGATGGGGGAGAGAATGAGAATGGGGATGGCTGGACAGGGGTGTGGGAGCGGTTGTTCAAGTACCAGGAGAAAGGCGATGATGGACATGCGGTTAAGCTTGGGAGGGCTGTACGATATGGTGAGATGATTGCGAAGGGGGACAAGAGTGCTGTCACGAAAGGCGATGGAACAGTTAATGGTCATGGGGAAGGGGAGGAGCTATTAAAGGGCGACATGTGGTTGCGATTTGGGCATCGGGTTATCGATTCCGCCGAGGATGCGGGGAGTGAAGCGCCTTGGATCAGGCCTAATATGTAAGAAGCTTTAGGTACGACCGTGGATATGGGAGGATACATGGGATTGGGAGTTTGTGATGGGAACGGAGATGGAAGGGAATTTGTACAGAACTAGGGAAGAAAGAATTGGAGATTGGAAAGAGGTGATTGAAAAGGGGGGCTGTACACTCCACTTATCTAATTTTCATTTCTTAAACTTTAGGCTAATCGAAAATCTGTTAATTCTAAAACCAAGTCCTTATAAATATCCTCAATCTCAGTATAAGAGTCTCTCTCTCTAACAAAATCCGAGGGACGAGTAAAAATCGTCTCGACAACTCTAGAAAACTAGATTCTAATATTCCCATCTCCTCATCAAAAACAAAATCTACAAACTAAGCGAGGTACTCGAGCATACTTTTCTCCTATAGTAACCCTAACATTTACCCGAGGCTACCTATACGCACCTTATAAACAATCTACCTAAAAGACCTATTACCTTCTTTATACCCCCTTAAAAAACAATATTCTCTAATACCCTTTATATAACGAAAATCTCTAGAAGAGACTACTTGAGAAAACTATTAATATTCATTTCTATACTTTCTACTAGAAAAGTTATATTTAAATACTCTTCTGAGTAATATTGAAGATTTAATATAAGCTATAAAACAACAACTTCTCTAATTGAATGACAACCATCTACGTTTACATTTATAGTTTATACAGATAGGTAGTATTAAAGCGTTTTACCCCACGTTACCTTACTCCACCTCGCCACGGACCATTAGAATACCACAGCATACACAAACACCAAAGAAAACAGACGAGTATTCCTAATTCATTACATTCATCTCCCAGTCATTACGTTTACCTATCAAAAGGAATCTCTCAAGAGACTGACTAATTACCCTTTCCTACCCAATCCAACTCCTCCTAAACCAAAGCTGTGGGCGTTCTTATCTACCATGCAAGTATGCTTTTGTATGTATGTGTATGTGTGCATCAAAAACGAAGCATATACAATCCATCCATCCCTCCCAAAAAATCCCTCTTTTGATAATTAACAAGACCCAATCGACGCATCCAAATCAATAGCGCCACATCATTTCCATTCTTCATTTCCAGGTCTTCAGTTTTCATTCCGCCAAGAAATATTCTACATACGATGCGATGCGTATGCAGAAACCACCAAAAATGTATGTATGCATGCAGAAATGTATGGAGAAGAAAAAACAGGCTCATCTAGAAAGCATCAGAGCTTCGTGAGTAGCCTCGCTATCATCCTTCGTCTCCCCACTACCCACAGCAGACTCCAAAGACATCTCTCGAGGACCTTCCTCAACAAGTGACGGAGAAAGACTTTTCTCCCAATCCTGCATAACAGTGGAAAAGGTCTTGCGAATATTGCCCGGAGTAAGGATATCCAAAGAAGCTGGCCATTGAAGGTCTTTCGACGGAGTATCAAGCTGGTCGAGGATTCTAGGAAAAAAAGATGGTTAATGTTTGGCTGCAGGGAGATAAACAGGGGGGTTACTCACTTGATAGCGCGATCATCGAGATTGCTGTTGGAGGGTGTAGCAGGGTCAGAAGCGGTGGTGCTACTGCTCCATCGAGGACTTTTCGGAGGGGGAGAATCCCAATTCGACCAGTCGTCGTCTAGATCGTCAAGTGCTGAGGCAGCGAGAGAAACGGTCTTTGGTGCTTTGGACTTCAACCCGGTCGTCGTCTGGGTGGTTTGCTCGTGCTCGGATTGTTCCCATTCGGCTGGAGCAGGAGTTCCTGTCAGCGTTTCCCAGTTCCTAGGGGAAGCCGACCGTGGAGTCGATACCTTCCTGGTTCTGTCGGCGTTGCGTAAGTTGCCTCTACTGACTTTCCTCGAAGGCGCCCTGACACCGAGATTTTGTTTGGTTGGCTCATGTGCCGCCTCGTCCCCGACGGTTGCTTGTCGAATATCTTCCATGAATCCCCACATACCATTTCTGAGATCCTCGGCAATCAATTTAGCATTACTGGCCAGAGCAAGACCACCTTGGTAGGAGAGTGGTCGAGCACGAAGCGCGAGGCCCCTTGTAAGACCTTGAGAGGTGCTTGGCATCGAATCTGTCCTGGTGAAACCGGCGGATGCTGGCTGGTCAGAGGTTGTGTCTGGTGGTGGTGGAAATGGTCGAGGATAATTCGACCTTTCTGGCGAGAGGAGAGACAGTGTCCTTGTGTGGCCTCCAGTAATGACCTTCCTTCTCGATTCTTTTGGGATATTAATATTACTTAGGAGCATTTTTCTTCGGTCCATCTCTGCGCTGTGTCGGGTCACAATGGTGGATGCATCTTTGGAGGAGTTATCCAAGGCGACCGTCTGGAGTTGTTGCAGTGGTGCATTATGTTTAATCTCAGCTCGTTTCTTTGATGACTCATGGCTTGCCCATTGCCTTTTCAGATTGTGTAGATCTCGTTCTGCCTTGTTGAGTTCCTCTTTCAATTCCAATACCTTTCGTTCTTGCGCAGCTAGAGCAACGAGAAAACCGTCCGGGTCACTGGGAGAGGGGGCTATTTCCATAGGCGTGGGAGGGAAAGTCGCGGTAGCGGGAGTTGGTCTGGTTGATTCATTGCCGGGCAGATTTGGGGCGACGGGAAAGCTTAGGGATAGTGGGCGTACCGGTCGAACGCGAGTTGTGGTGGTCGAGGAAGAATTACGAGTATGACCTGCGGTTGGCTGGGGAGGAGGAGCCATCTCAGCATTGGGACGAGTGGGCGACATCCCAAGGTGAGGACTCACGATTGCTGCAGGAGCTTTGTTTTCCCCCGAGGATAGGATGGACTCGACCGAGGCAAGATCAATGGACTGACGACGATTGTGGTGTTCCATTGCGCATATCGTGTTGTTGGTGACTTGGGAGATTTCGTGTGGTAAAAAGGGGAAGAAAGTCGTTCTTTGTGTGATCATAAAGTCGATTTGGTTTTTGCGGAGATTGGTGGGTCTTTGTTGACATTACACCCAGCACTGCTTGACCGGGTTATCAAGCAAATGGCAAGGGCAGAGGCAAGTGAGTGAGTGAGCGTCTTAGGGTAAAAGTAAGAGAACATGAGTTTATTCAGACATGATATTGGGGGACAGGAAATCAAAAGGGACAGTGGTGGTAAAGACAGACATCAACAAGAGAGGGTGGGTGAATTACGTGGAGGCCATGATGGGCGATGGTGTGAGTGGTAGACTGGTAGTCAGAAACTAGCAACTCCATAGATGGGAGTCCAGAAGGTCAGTTACAGTGCACAACAGCTTGTTGTGGTTGAAGGAGCAAGCCACCGCAGCTGTTATCCCTGTCCACCCCAATCTCACTGACGTGGAGAGCAACGCCCAAGCTAAGATTGCGCCAATCACCACCCAGAAAAGGGGTCAGCACTCTGGATGGCAATTGATTTTTTTGTTTGCACTGGAAATCTATCAGTTGCACCTGTTTCAATTTGTTTCTTTTTGATCCAAGCTACATCCAGTGATTTTATATAGATTTTTTCACAACTTTTTTGCACAATTTGACTTTGGCACCATCCCTGGCAGAGTTCGTGCTGTGCAGGCTGGCTGCTGGCAGGTACTGGTGTAGTGCCGCTTTATTTATACCCCATACTCCTTGATCTGCTCAGGCGCCTTACCCTTTTCAGCTTGGCCCCGGAGATTGTCATTACCGACTGCCCAGGCCACGGCCAAGATGTCCGAGTTCAGTCCTCGTGACCACGTTGCCTTTTGGCGTCAAAGAATGCTTTCAACGCGTCTTACACCGCCCACCACCACCACCATCACCGACCGACCCTTTGTACATTTTGACAGTACAACATTGCTATCCCACAACATCCTCATCTTGCAATTCTTTGGGAAATTATACATTTACAGGGTACAGCAAGCATAGAATATCACTCACACTTCTCGTTATTATGAAGTTGATGAAGGATGCCCTTTCGATTCACTTATGTATGTCAGCTTTTGGAAAAGCTTGAGCAACCATATCGTGAGAAACGATTCATACTACCAAAAGACCTGAAAACTTACACGGAAAACCAAACTCTGCAGTGGTTCAAGAACCATAGAGACAGACTTGATGAGTTTGCTACCAACCATGATGCAGTAATGGCTATGCTTCGTCCAGAAACCTGGGTTGGGCGAGAATATCTTGGAGATGAAGAGGATTTGGAACCTTTCTTATGGAGGGCAATACAATTCTCAAGACCTGAACGTGCTGAACTACATAAATGGAAGACATATCCTTCAACCGGGGATCTTGGAGCTCAGGTTGGACGAATCTTGGGGAACCGAGAAAACGTAAGTGTTGCTACGAGTCATACGCTTGACTGGTTATTTTTCTTATGAAGTAACGCGTTCAAAATTCAAGAGAACAGGGTTCATAGGAGCATTCAATGCTGATACGTTCTCTAGGCCAACAATTTTAATAAACCCAAAGCTGAAGAAGTGACAGTGGAAGAAGTAGATCAATGCTTACTTGAAATCGCTGCACATAATAACCAATCTTCACTTGAAATACAATCTCTAAGATCATCATGTTTGGTCAATGATCCAGACGGCTCTTTGAGGGTCATCTACTGTCGACTTCGACCTCAAGAGGCAAAATGGATGACAAGATTGCTCCTCAAAAGAACAGATCCAGTCAAAATTCCAGCCGATTTTGGTGTCACGTCCGGACATTCTATGCTACCAAACTGCATAAAGGTTCGTGTTGAGTTGTCGAGTTCATCTCCTACAACACTCCATATTGGCAAAACCGGTCTAGTCAAGGCTAAACCCCAACCTCTGACTCCATGTACTCCACAATCCTCGAATCCAATAAATGGTCGTCGATCACCAACTCCAGAGAGGCGAGAGAGACGTGGTTCGCCCGAAACTGATTTGCGTCCGAGAAAAAGAGGAAGGAGGAACTCAAGAGGGCTGAAATCTATGAACCGTTCTGTTTCGAGGCCTCGTACGATAGAACAGAAAGAAATTGGTCATGTACTTAGAGAGTCTATACCAACACCTCCGAGTTCCAAACCAATGCCTCCAAATCAAAAGCCAACGCCTCTTCCTCCAACTCCAGATGTCCCTGAAGTATCCCACCCTCAGCCAGTTACAAAACGACGACGTATATCAAGAGAAAGTTCCCCGGGCCCCATTGTGTTCCAAAAAGGTATTCTACGGCCATCGCGTCTAACGAAAATCACGAATAATCCCCCACCCAATAAGGTCCTCGCCAACTCAAAAGCGACTAGGGATTCACTCCCAGAAGAGAAGAGTCCCCAGAATTGTCCTGCGTTTCAATTGGCCAGTTCTGGTGAAGGACGCATGGTCTCAGTACCAAAAATTACTGATACCCCCGCTTCTTCCTTGTCAGAAGCAGATCTTGTCTGGGAGAGGACCTCAAGGTCTCGAGATACACACAAAGCTTCATCACTTGAAAAGATCACGGACCAAAATATGGCATCCAGCCAGCCTCCTCTACCCACACCAGCCAGTTCTGATGCGGCATCGAAATCGCCACAAGGAGAGATGAACCTCGAGGTCGATGCGACCGAGCCTTCGATATCGAACAGCGCAAAGACCATTCAACCTCAAGACGTACCAAGGCCATCAGTCGAAAATCCGCAATCATCATCCTCAACACCAGTACCTCCTACCACTCTCTCAACCTCAACCTCGAACACCACCTCTACCTCCCCCCTCATAACCGCCGGCATCGGCCCCTGCTCCCTCAGTCCAAACCCATGCCCCCTAACCTCCAGCATCTTCCTCGCCTCTCCCTACCTCCCCTCCTCCGCACAAGAACGTCTAACCTCCTTCCTCCTCCCCATCCACGGCTGCACATACATCACCAACCTCACGGACCTCTTCCACCCCTCCCTGCCCACACGTAATCACACCACACACACCAGATACCAAAAGATCGTGCTCATCGAACCGCGAGAACCTGCGATCTCGGCGCGTTTCATGCATGAAGTGCAGGATCACCGACTGAGCCAGGGCGGGGGGTGTGAGTTGAAAAGAAAGGAGAAGATTCAGATCTATGATTGGAGACTTCTTGAGGTTATTGGGGGACGGGAGCATGACGGCCGCGCGATGGAGGGGGCGTGGGAGAAGTGTTGGATGGCTACTATTTAGGGGGGTATGTGTTTTGCGGGTGGTCTTTGGGAGGTTCCCTAATGCGAGGTTTGACCGGGAGGAGTTTTGGGGTTATGGGTTTTGGTGATGGGGGTGCGGACTAGGTCACATTATCCTTGAGTGTACCTAGTGTCCTTTGGAATTCCGGATAGTCCAGTCCTCTCGCATTTTGCGATGATGATCTGGCGGCTTCTTACGCTTTACGATGGGTATCTTCATGGGACTTTGAGCCTGATGTTACATATGGCATTTTTTTGATAGATACCTCGTGGTTGGTCTACCATCATTCTAAACTCTAGTCTGGGAATACTACATCACATCACATCACGTTTTTTTTACAGGACGGTACATGTTATTCTTCGCCCGAAACTTTTATTGTATTTCAGCTCGTTCTCTCTCTCTCTCTCTCTCTCTCAAACTAAGTAAATTAGCCGTAAATTATAGAGGTTACTTTATATTGTAGATACTCTTGCTAACACCTCTTACTGTCATCGCAAACCTCCTGTTATAATCGCAAAACTCCCGCTACTACTACTGCCGCTACTACTCTACCACGGCGTAACGCGAACTTATCGCTAACCAATCATTCTACCTAACACGAGAACCTCCTCGGGGAGTCAGCCTACCAGAACAAATTTAACATTAACGGTAATTCTAACTTGGTCGTAAACGGTCACCGGCGGGGACATATGCGCTGGCCTCCTGAGCCTCTAACTTGCGATGTGATTAGCTGATTTTCCAGCTTAGACGTGGTAGTAGTATAAGAGGGAAAACAGAAGAGCTTAGTTCGGCGATTATAGAAATGAACACTTGAAGTTTCGATTGTAGGAAGACCAATGAGTGAGAAATGGGTATGATGGACCTGCAGGCTTTTATCTAGAGCGTGGAGTACTAAAACTTCTTGAATGACTATTATACGACTATTAAGAATATAATAACGCAACCTAACATACCTATCCTAACCCCCTACGCCCTACTTACCAAAAAGATCTAACTCAAAGCATTCCCCAAAGTATTCCTCCGACTCCTATCACTCCTCAAATCCCTCCGCCCCATAATAGCCTCCAGCGCCTGCTCCAACGCCGTCCCATCATAAACCATGCCCCCCTCCCCCTCCCTCCTCCTCCCATAAATCCTCACCGTCTCAATCCCCAACCTCGCCATCTCCGCCTTATCAACCCGCGGCGTCCCCTCACCTTGCAAATGAATAATATGCGACACATAACACCGATACTCCATCTCCCCCACCTCACCCCCTCCTTCCGCACCTATAACCCCTCCCAGTTCAGCAGGAGGGAACTCAGAACTCCACCCGGCACGGGCAATCGCTCGCACGAACTCCTTCGCAGTGTACTCCCCGCCCTCCCACCGTGTCTCGCGATCCAGCGAGCCATTGAGGATGAGGATCTTAAAGGGCTTCTCGCGGATAGCGGAGCCGACACCGCGGAGGATGAGACATGGGAGGATGGAGGTGTAGAGGCTGCCGATGGAGTAGACTACGCCGTTTGCTTCCTTGATGGCTTGGAGGACTTTGGGGTTGGGTGTCGGACGGAGCTCTTGGCCGTAGGGGTTTATGTACCAGATTCTTTCGATGGGGGTGGGTAAATCGGAAGTGTGGGATTTGGCGAAGATGATGTTTTGTTTGCGCAGGGAGGGGAGAGAGCCCGGGAGGTGGGCGTCTTCGTGGGGGGTGTCGTGGTCGTAGGGGGAGGGGAAGGAGGAGGGGAAGGCGGTTGGGGCTGAGGGGTGGGAGATTTCGTTTTGGCCTACGATTTGGGTGCCGTCTTGGAGACCGGCGGCTATGTGGTGGCTGAAGTTACTGTTGATTGCGGGGATGACTTTGATGTTTGCTGGAACATTGGTAATGGCTCCGAAGAGGTATATTGCACTTTCGAATGAACCCGTGAACAGACGGGCGCCGGTTAGGAACAGATTTCCTACTGATGCAGTCTGGAAGTTGAATGCAGAGGTTTTGCGAGTCCTTTTCAGGATTTCGAGGTTGATGGTGTTGAAGAATGAGCGGATTAACTCGAGTTTTTGGGAAGGGATGTCCTGCCATAGTGGGTGAGTGCCTTCTACAATCTGGTGCCACTCTTCTCGTGCTTCTGAAGGCGTGGAAGAAAGGCGGTGGTTGAAGAGTGTTTTCATGGCAATCGTCGAGGGAGAATTAGGCGATGTAGGTATAAGACGGATGAGACGACCTGGGTATCTACTTAGCATGTTGGATATCAGAGTGAAAGCTAGTATGAGAGGAGGTTCACTGAGATGACAGAATTGACAATCAAGAGAGAGAAGACATCATAGAAATCTCAGGAAAAACAGCACTGATTGACAAACGGATCAAAACGTACTCCTAACATCACCAATTCCCGGTCCCCCAAAAACTCTAATCAACTCACTCGAACTCCCACCATTATCAGAAATCGGGATAATACTAGCAAACAATCATTAGCCCAAGTTCAACAATTTCAGATCCAGCTATTGTCAACAAACTATTCAACAACTTTCGATACAACAGAAGCCATTCATAATTCGGTAAATTCGTGCACTCAGAGCTTTGCACTCCTCATCCTCCCTCCGCTTACCAAAAGAAAATGAAAAACAAGAAAGTTATAGAGAATAAGATCAGAGCCTTTCACAACTCTCCTTATACCCCTCATAACTTCTCACAAAAAGACCTCCCTTCGAAGCATCAGCAACATCTCTCGCAATCCCCAAGATCAACCCCCAACCCTTCCTTTCCCCCCTCAAAATCACCCCCTCAAACCAACCCACAAACCACAATAAACCCCCTCAACCTCC